AATCGAGTAAGGAATTGCCTCTTGTAGCCTTTTTCTTGGTATTGTCGCTTATTTGCTCATATTTTACAGAAAACGAATGCAACTATATTAAATTTTGCTTTAAAGTATAGTATTAGCTTTAAGGCAAGGCACTTTCTGCCATATTTTGTGAAGAGAGTCAGAGATCACATGCTTTCCAATATTCCACAGTCTCTTACATAAAAAATAACTAACAAATAGACGCAGACTTCGGGCATCTCATCCCACCTACAATAAAAATAGAGAGCGAGAGTATCGTTTCACCCTCTCCCAATATTTCGAAGAGCAAAAGTTAAAAAAAAAATAAAACAAAACCAAGAACAAATTATCTACCTTGCTTTAAGTAAATTGAATAAAATATGTAATCTAAAATAAATGAAGAAAATTAGAAAAGTCGAATAGATGGATAAGCTATAGTGTTGTCGAAAATTGGTCCTGGTCTTGCACTTTGTACCAAGATTGGTAAAAAAAAATTGTTTTTGTGAGTAAAAATTAAGGCAAAATAGTTAGTTATACGTGACAATTTTAGTAGTAATGTTAGTAATGTAACGAATTGGTATAACCAATATATTTTTGCATTTAACTCTTCCAATTTTTCATTAGGGCTTAGTTAAGTTTCCCCTATCTGAAAAGTTACGGTAATATCTCTATAGTAATAGGCTAATAGGTAACTGCAAGACTGTTGCGAGACTCTTGCGCAAGACCAAAACAAAGATCAAGACTAAGGGCGTAAGACCAAGACTCGTCTTGGTCTCGCATTTGGGCAACACTAGTAAGCTAAGGACAATTCATATGAATTTTTACTTGGAATCAGCTCACCTAAAAACGACCAAATCATCTGGAAGATGGACTGATAACCGACACGTATAAAAATGAAGTTTTTTATGTGGTGCATTTATTTTCTCAAACTCAAGAATTCGTAACAAATTATGTTCCTTCATCTTGACCATAAAAAATACAAAAGATGTATGTTTCTATATTTTTCATTTAATTTTTTAGTTTCTTATAATATTACTGTATTCAGGGGTCCAATGTTCCATAAGTTTGAGTGATTAAAATTTGTTCCTTTGTTACTAATACTAAATCTGTACTCCGGAGGATTAATAATGTAATTAATAATTTCAGTACTTACAGTATATAATACTGATTATTATATATACAGTATATAATACTGATTATTATATATACAGTATATAATATAATATACTGTAAAGGACACCATTTCACATTTTTGTATTTGTTCAGGGAGCAAATTTTAACATATCTTATTTAATCGAAAATTGACATGGTTTTTACCTTACGTACGGGAAATCCATATGTAAGGAAATTAGTTAAGATCGATTTTAAATTCCATAGTCGAGTTAGTTCCTGAAACAAACAATTGGGATTTATTTTCAAACAGAACGATCATCTACAATAATGTTTGGATCAAATAGAAACAAGTGATCAACTTTGTGAAAATTAGAGTGTCTGAACATATATAAATAAGACCATTCATATATATTAATGAATCAATAACTATTAGTTACTTTCAGATAAATACATTTAGGGCGCGTTTTGTTTAAAATTTTGTAACTCGAAGACATTCCAATAGTGTTTTGGAAAAATGATTTTAAAAATACTTTGTCAGAATAATATTTCTTTTATAAAAAGATGACACTATATTTTATAGATTACTATTTTCTCTCGTGAAACAGCAATTAAAATTAGAGTGATCAATGTTTTTAGTAATTTCACAAAAAAAAAAAAAAAAAAAAAAATGAAATTACAGTCACAAACCCTCATCACAACATAATTATAATAAAATGTTAAACGAATGCAAATTTACTTTTATAAATATACTGGTGATACGATAGAAAATAAATAAGTTTTTTTCGTCCTAACTATCTTAATCTGTAAAACATGGGCAAAGCTCTTCTCTTGAGTTGGTGTAAAAAAAAAAAAAAAAAAAAAAAAAATATATATATATATATATAATATATATATATATATATATATATATATATATATATATATTTATCAAGGTAATTTAAAATATTTAAAAAATATAATTAAATTAAATATTTTAGATTAAAAAAATAATAAAGTCCAACAACAATATAGATTCCATGCCACTACTAATTCTTCAGCACATATTTTTCGTTATTTACTTAATGAAACAACACAACTAGTAAAAATGCACACATTAAAAATAATGACATGAACAGTCTTGAAGAGATACTGCCCGGTAGTAGCACTCACTATTTAATTCTAGGAAAGAAGATCACGAGGCCATCTTCTTTCCAGACGGCTAGGGGGATTATCAGGAATCGAGGAAGAAGCAAGACTGGAAACAAGTGGATTCGGATGGGACTGGAGTTTATCATGAAAGGATGGGTATCTGGCTCGGGCTAAATGAGCGGCATATGGAATACTAAGGTCTTTATGAATGGTATTATTTGTGACAAAATAAGGGCATTAAGGATTTTACGAAGGATTTTGGATTGTAAGGATTGGATACGATAGGGATTCGATGGTTTGGTAGAGCCCCAAAGCACAACTCCGAATGTCTATATAGGTCTTATTATGATTAAGTAGATGAATTTGATGGAATGAAAAAATAGTTGCCCGAAGCTTTTTGTAAAGTAGATTCTTATTACAAATTTAAGACATTATTTTTTATTTTAGGACATTATTATTTGTAGAAAAGTTAAAAATTTCAAAGTTAAAGAATAAATAAATTTAATTAAGATTCAAAAAAAATTTAAATACATTTTTTTTTAACAGTATCCTATTTTAGGGAATAACATTGTGTTTTGCAATTAATTGAAAGTTTAGAGCGTTGTCTAGTTGGAGCAGTCGGAAACATCGAGCAGTTTCTTCTCGTTTCAGTCTAGTGCAGGTTCCAAGTGAGACGGTTATCCAAGTTGAGTCCTATGTAGCGGATTTGTTCAACAATAGCATGTGGAATATCATTGAAGGATATTATAGGACAAGAAGTTGTAGGTTTACGACTGCACATAATATAAAAAAAAAAAATTCAGTTTAAGATTAAACATTTATATGATTGAAGTTTGAGGAGTAATAAAATTTAATACTATATTATTTAAACAGAAAGAGAGATTATATTTGTCTCATATAATACGTGGTGTCAGGTTTTTTGAAATATATTTAATATTTAGCATTGGAGTTTATTTAAAATATTGAAATACTAACAACCAGCCTTTCACTGAAAAAAAGTTTTTCAGAAACTTGATTTTTACATTTGCTGCTATTTTATTTCTTTTCATTTTAATTTTATTATTTTTCATACATTTTTTCTACATTAGAAAGGGGAAGCTACCCCATCTTCCTCTAGTATATCCCCCACCTTTGGTTACTTCTATATCAAGGAGATTACGTTTATGCATGCGAAAGCAAAATTAGAAGACTTAATTTAATAAAATTTAAATGGGATCATCAATGTAGTGACCTGTTCTATCCCCTAAGATTTCATATAAATCAGGTAAATGATAGATGTGTTATACCTGTTACACGAATTGACAGAACTATATACTACTATAATATACATTTATTAAAAGAAAGGTTAGGTTTCACTGCTACCATAATCACTCGGCAATCGAAGTTGTAATACAGATAGTTGATAAGGCTTCATAGATATGGATTTTTTTTTTTTTTGTGCCTATTGAAAAATTATAGCATAAGAACTTAGGTGATTTCGCTGATATTATCCGCATTTCATTTATGACCGCACTAAATCACAGGTTGTAGGTAACGATTCATAATAGCATACAGAACCTGTAGACATTAATTATAAATAATGGTAATTACTATTTTATATTATTAAAATTACGATTTTAAAAGGTAGATATCGCAGAAACTCATCCCATGAAATTCCATTGCCCTCCTGTTCTTTAAAATTTTGCAAACAAAACAAGAGTTAGACAAATTGTAGTACAAATACAATTACACGTTGTGTGGTTTGTTCCATGTTTTATTCTTGCTCTCTGATTTGAAAGTTCCTCCAAATTAAATCCCCACAAAAATATGGTTCTCTCATAACTCATAACCAGTAAACATATAGGGTAAGCGCACCAGTAATGAACATAGCTAAGGATTTTTTTTTTTTTTGGCTTATGCCATCGTAATTATTATAGTTATAAACTTCTCGGTTGGACATTTGAATCTCTAGGGTCTCCCTTTTCTATTTAGTACTTTAAAATTAAAAAAAATATTCAGTTATGCAGGTGTAATGTCCATAAAAAAAACAACTCTTTTTTACACTGCAATGGACACCTCGATCTTCAATCGTTCTCGTAATAGGTGGTCGGTACCAGTAATGGATATTACCTCAAAAAAATTCTAATTTTTATTTAACGATAAATGTAACATAACATAAATGTTCAACTTACTCTTAGTAAAACTGTTATTAGGAAGGTATGAAATACACTGATCTCAAGAGCTCTATAGAAACAACAATAATAAGCATTTAAAAATTTTCTTTTGCGAACTTTGTTCATACAGCTGTTAATGGAGGCATTGTTCTTCAATCTATAAAAAACTGGAACCTTTAAATCAACAATGAAGCTTATTATTTATATTTAAAGTCCAACCTGTCCATTACTGACAGGGGCCATAACTGGTGCGTTTACCTTTAAAAAATATTGATGGCACAACTTTTGCCATATAACCCCCTTCTGGATACTCATGCTTGAATAGAAATTTATACTATTTTCACCATGCATAATATGGTATTCGGAAGATCCTAGAAAAAGTTTGATAATGTGAGGCGAATCCCGAATAGATTTTTCAAATTAATATGTAAATATAGGTATACTCCTTAACATGAAATTTCTCCAACACATAGTGATCGACTTCTGATGATTTATAAGCAAGGTTTACAAATTATAATTAATATTTTTATTATTATTCTAATCGGAAATAAAATATTTGGCTATGTGGGAAGTGATTGTGTGATGTGATAAGTGTCGTGCCCAACACAGAGTGCGATGTCAACTGCCACTGGAAGTGTCGGACGTTGATGCCCAACTTGTGCGGGGTGAACCAGAAGCTGATCGTGGAGGCGCTGGCCAACGTGAAGCGAGGTAGGTCGGTCAGAGAGTCAAAGGAGTCCCTCTTCAAGCTGCTAAGTGAGTAAAACAATATATTATTCTTTTAATTTATTTATCAATAAAATATCAAGAAATGGTAAAGATAAAGAAAAAGTTTTCGACATTTTTATTTCAAGTGTTATTTCTAGCAATATCTGCTATTCAACCCAACAGTCAATTACTACTTTTTTCTTTTCCTTTTGTTTTCTGTTCTTCCCAACCTCGCCTTTTTAGGCTATACAGCATTTTCTCGGGCTTAGGGGTGAGGGCGGGGAATTTAAAATCCCCCCGGCACCGGTTAGCGAACTCGGTACTGTGCATACGCTTTAGCCCATTCGGCCATCCCGTCCCCTAGTCAATTACTGCTGCAACATCCATTTTATGAGTCAATGAATTTCAAAAAGTCTCGTGTCCATTAGACATAACTATTACCCCTAATATGGACATAACCCCACACATCGTCTCCACCATACTTAAAGAAATAAAGAGAAAGATTAAAGTTTCGAATTAAATACTCTTATTGCTTTGCCCGAAGCATTTTGTAAAGTTGATTCTTATTACAAATTTAGGACAATATTTTTTATTTTAGGACATTATTATTTGTAGAAAAGTTAAAAATTTCAAAGTTAAAGAATAAATAAATTTAATTAAGATAAAAAAAAATTTAAATACATTTTTTTTAACAGTATCCTATTTTAGGGAATAACACAGTGTGTTAATGGCTAAGTCAAACAGTACTATGACAGTTTTTTAAGTTTTTTAACAGTTTTTTAATATATATATATATATATATGTATGTATATATATATATATATATATATATATATGTGTGTGTGTGTGTGTGTATGTATGTATGTATATATAGATAGATAGATGGATAAATATCTCAGCATATTTTGATATCATTTTAATTATTTTTTTTATGATTTTTACCGATCCTAAACGGATTATTGTTTGTAAAAATTATTATTCAAATATCAAATCTACTCCAAATTTATGAGTTTTTATATTCAGCGTAGGTTTTAACATAAAATAAATATATAATTTCTGCGAATTTCTAGAGCGTCTATAAAATATGAAACAACAATAGGAGTATACAATCTATACAATAAGAGTATCTATACAATACACAATCTGGGCTGTTGTCCAATTGTTACTTTGATAATTATTTATTTTATGATTATGATATTATTCTTACCTATCCCAGACAAATTATTATTTGCATACAATATTTATCAAATCCAGTCTAGATTTGATGAGCTTTTATATTCAGGATAGTTTGTGAGAGAAAAATAATGATTAATCTCTAGGAAATGTGAAAGCAGTTTATTCAGATTATGGATTCTTGTCCAATTATAAATTAAAAAATTATTTATTTTATAATTATGTTATGATCCAAGACAAATTATTGTTTGTAAAAATTGTTAATCAAATCTATACCAGATTTTTGAGTTTTTATATTCAGCATAGTTTTCAATAGAAAATAAATAAATAATCTCTATGAAATGCAAAAGTATCTATCACACAATATGGGCTTTTGTCCAATTTTTACTTTAATAGTTTTCTTATCGTTTTAATTGTTGAATTTAAATTGTTAATTTTATAATTACATCATGTCCCTGACTCATTTCAGACAAATTATTGTTTGTAAAAATAATTAATCAAATCTACCCCAGATTTATGAGTTTATTTATCAGTGTACTTTTAAGATAAAATAAAAATGTATTTTTAATTTTTCATGCGTATACGGGTTTCTGTTTCATTAAGGAATGTTTTAGACATTTTTTTATTTACATTTCATACAATCAATACACGAAACAACTGCAAGCTCAGACCATTGTAGAATAAAAATAAATTCTTGGCTCAATTTAGTCTTAGCAACCTTGGCTTTGGTTTTCGTCTAACAGTTACACCATTGAGTAATTGTTTATCATCTACCACAAAGACGTTTGGGTGAATAGCAGATTTAGAAATACAAACAAAAAATGAGAAATTTATTGAATGTCGAATAACGAAATATATTTTTTTAAGAAATCATGTTACGTATAGCTACTGTTAGAGCAAAAGATCGTATGTAAAAATTTTTCACTTATATTCAATGTGTGCTAAAGGTGACATTTTGTTGTCTGTAACTGATATATGTAATCTGCTACGGCGGAAAATAAAATATGAAATTATAATAATAAATCAAATAGAGATAATCGGTATTTAATACTCTCCTGTAAAATAATCAATTTTTACATACCACCTTTTGAACTAATAGTAGCTAATTTTTTTTTTAGGATTACATCTTTTATAGGTTGGTACCTTCAAAGTAAATTAAGATTCACCTTCATCAGTAAATAAGTACGAGAATTTTGAAAAAAAAAAAAACATTGAAATTTAGTTGTTGATGGAATGATATAAATAATTTTACATTAAAATCCTGAATATATCACTAAAAATTTAAAAGTTTTAAAAGTAATCAGATATTAATTTTTTTGTCGTTATGTGTAGTAGTATAGATTTATTTATCATTTTTTTAAAAAATATCTAGCACAGATATTAAGCTACTGAGTAGCTTAATATCTGTGCTAGTGGACGGTCCCTGGCCCGAGGTATCGAGGCTCTATTTTAAAACATTGAAGAGGATCCCATTGTAAAATACAAAAAAAATTAAAAAAAACCGGGATGAAATAAACAGCAGGATCAATGAATATTTTGTAGTTTATTGAATAATTATTAAGTGACCTAACTCCCAATCTAAATAATTATGTTTATATATATATATATATATATATATATATATATATAGAGAGAGAGAGAGAGAGAGAATGAGAGAGAGAGAGAGGGGGAGAGAGAGATTTAACAAGGTAAGCCTCAATGCCTTGGAATGACCAACCTATATATTTTTGTTTACCCTTTCTCAATAATGATTAGTGATTAATATAATTTTGTTCTCTAATAAGATTATGAAATCATTATTTTTATAAAATCAACTTACATGAGCAGCTCTGCAAAAGCCTGGAAGTACAATTTAATTTTACTACCCCGTATGGCAACTATGCCGGGCAGGGGGATAAAAAGAACAATTTAATTAGGAAGTGTGGTTTTTAACCTTTTTTGGTTTATCTTGCCCTCGTGCATGAAATAAAAACCAAAAATTATATTTAAAAGGCAACATCTTTATCATACATGTAAAATCCAATATACAGGCTTTTGAAATTTATGTAATTCATTTTACAATTTATGTAATACAGGATTTTGCAGCGTGGCTGTAGATTCATATAACGATTACCATTAAAATGTACATACAGGATAAGTACTTTGGGAGAGTATATTCCAGCACAAACTATTTTCTTAATATGATAGTCATAACATCTTCCAATACGATAATCTAAGGGATCAACCAGGAATATGTGCCAGAAAAAAAAACTCCCAAGGAACATCCTTGTAAAAGTTCTTCTCTTTTTTAATATTGGTTTAAGTTAAAAAAAATGTTTCAAGCTGTGCCCCAAGTATTCTCGTGCTATACTATTAGATAAAATAACTGGGCGTTTAAATTATTCCAATTATGAAAGTCAATTGCTTCGTCTATAGTTATAATAATACATTTTTGTAACCATTGAAGGCAGTATTTTCTAAAAATTTATATTTAATCTGGCTTCCGCTAAGCTGGTCAATTTATGATTCCGGAAAACTTTTCCTGCAATCGACAATACCATACATCTTTGAGGTCGTCCGTTCTTTCAGTTCCACGAAAAATTGAGAATGTTTTCTTTGCTTCCGTTAGTTTTTCTTCTACCCGAGTGGCTTTCCTAACTGAATCACTCCACCTCATTAATAAAGATTGTAGGATTGTTGGTGATTCCGAATCGACCCAATTCTTCTTCCTCCTCTATAAATATTACATAATATATTATTTCGCGGAAAGATAAGCAGAACTTTTTCGCCAACATAATACAGAGTCGATATAAAAAAAAAAATAATATGGGTACAAACTGGAAGAACAAAAATCTCACAACACCGATTTTTTTCTTCAAACAGGTATAATTTTAACAATATTGAAAAAATAAACGTGACTTTAGTAAACAGCGGTTTATTTCCTCAGGGTTGTCATGCGCGAAGCTAACTCGACATTTAAAAAAATAATAAATAAAACTACACTACTACACTTAACCCTCATACACGGTGGGCCAGACCACCTTACGGTGCACCCCCTCCTCTCCCACATCTCTATAAATTGCATATCGTTGTGTTCCTTGTAACTATTTATTTAAAAAAAAGCCAATGTTCCCACAAAAAAAAGTGAACGCACTGCCCCAAAATGGCGTCCAAAGATAGCGGATTGACGACTTTGACTTTAGTTAGTTTTTTGGTCAGTGAGAATCAGCATTTGGCTTAATTTCCTCATAGTTGGTATGTTATTAAAGCTTAATAGTTATAGAAGAATAAAACCTGAAGAAATATTAAAAAAATAATTGGCTTAGGCTATGAAAAACACCAGTAAAGTCAATTTTTTTAACAAAAAAATTTTCAAGTTACAAATCAAGCGTCGTTTGTAATTAAACGGCCTACAATAACGCAAAACGTGCTGAAATAAACCATCCGGAGAATATATTTCTCTTTCTAAAACGCTGATTATTTTTTACAAATGTTTAAGCAGTTCCGAAAAGCGGTACTGGCGTGGGTGCCTACAGGCCTCTACCACCTGTAGAGCGTTTAATTACAAACGACGCTTGATTTGTAACTTAAAAATTTTTTTGTTAAAAACATTGATTTTACTGGTGTTTTTCATAGCCTAAACCAATTATTTTTTAATATTTCTTCATGATTTATTATTCTATAACTATTCAGCTTTAATAAAAGACCAACTATGAGGAAATTAAGCCAAATGCTGATTCTCAGTGACCAAAAAACTAACTAAAGTCAAAGTTGTCAATCCGCCATCTTGGGGGATCTAGGTCTTCCCCTTCCCGCCTTTATTAAGGCTATACGGGGTTTTCCCGGGCCAGGGGGTGTGGGTGGGGATTTAAAAGATTCCCCGACAATGGGACGCGAACACGTGACTATTTTAAATCCATTGTCTAATAGATAGGTTGCCAGGCAACGGCGGTGCTGTGCACACATGTGCCCTTTCGGCCACCCCGCCCGAAAAAAATCGATATCTGATTCCTTTTAAAACTTACAAATAAGGGCATGGATGCCTACACTATCCCGCCTCCCTCCCAAAGGTCGATGGCATTGACATACATGTCCCGCGAAATGTTATTGTTGTTCTTTTCTTAAAAACAGTGCAAGTAAAAGGAGAAATGTAGATCACATCCAATTACACTTTCTGTGGTCTCGTCCATGTTTTTCTCTTGTCTCCTGCTAAAAACTTTTCCTTCCGAAAATTCAACCCCGTTGAAATGTGCCTCCCTCCGTCAAATATTCTAAATCCGATCAAAATTTGTCCCCCTCAAAAATGTTAATACCGCAACTTGCGCCATGAAATCCCCTTCTGGGCACCCTTATATAAGTTCTTTCCTTTTACTTTATTTGTTGTTTAAGATTGATTTACTATGTTATATATTAACTTATCTGTTATCTTACCTTCCTCCATCTCTCATTATTGAGACTCAATTGCAAAATATTCATGGAGTCGCGTTTTTATTTCGCTTTCGAATTTCTGACATTTATCACAGAAAGAAATTTTTAACGCACGAAACAAATAATAATCGCATATGGTAAGATCTGGGGAGTACGGGGAATAAGGTATAATGTCCCAACCAAACTGTAAGAGTGAACTGATTGGGACTTTCTACCTCATCCTCCGTACTCCCCAGAGCTTACCTCATCCGGTTATTACTTGTTTCGTGCGTTGAAAATTTCTTTCTGTGATAAATGTCAGAAATTCGAAAGCGAAATAAAAATGCATCTCCATGAATATTTTGCATCCCAACAATTTCGGAAAAAGAATATAAGAGGCTTCCTGAGAGATGGAAGCCCCTCACACAGTCGCTTACATTCTATGATATAAGTTTTAAAAAATACTTTATTTTGCAAATACGGAGACAATGCTTAATGAACTTATAATTGACAGATTCTTCAGAAGAAAGTTCTTCGGAGACCAGTACCAGCCAAGAAAAGGGCCGGGTGACACCTCCAGCGACGACGCTCCCCAGGTTCAGAACTTACAGCATCAACGACTTCCAGTTCCTCAAGGTCCTTGGAAAAGGCAGTTTTGGCAAGGTAACCTAAATTTGTATAACTTATTCTTCAAAAATTCCTAACTTCGTTAAATAAATATTTTAACGAAACAATACTTATTCATCTACCTCCCTACAGTAGGCAGTAATTACTAACAGTATCCACACTTGCAAGAAGCGACTTTTCGAGGAGCGGAAACATTTGAATGAAATTATATATTGAGTTGGTAAATAAGTCCTTTCGATTTTTCGGTGTGAAATAAAACTCAATGTATTATTGACATAAAATTTATTTTAATCTACAATATATTGACCATTATTTAATATGACTTTCACCCATCTTTCCACTAATTGCATAATGCCATGCTCATAGAATGTATGGAGTTTATTGTTAAAAAATTGATCCAAGTGTTTTTGATGTCCTCTTCCTTTTGGAATTTCTTTCCATTCATGGGGTTCTTCAGAGACCGGAATGAGTGGTAATCACTTGGAGATATGGTGAATAGGGAGGATGGGGCAATATGTCCTATCCAAGGCTCAATAACTTATTTCGAGTGACCAACACCATTCAGATCATTAATAACTCTTTAGGTTTTTTCCAAATTCGATGTTACTATATCCGCTGGAAAGCTGAATTAATGTTCTACAAAGCCGTATAAATGTTTTTTTATTTTTTTATTTAATGCCTAAATAAGGAATAAATAAACAAAAACTCCTTTGTTTATATGGCCCTAAATTCCTGCTAAATTTTTTGTAGATAGCTAAAGTCGTATTGAAGTTATAACATTTTTTGTGATTTTCGAAAAAAAAAATCATGTGAGCGACCCAAACATAACCGAGCTTGTGAAAATGGTTTTCTAAGCTTTGTGCAACACCTTTGGGGCCATAACAAGCTCTCGCACTGATTGGATGGGATTTTGATCAACAATGGCCTTGAAGTGTATCATTGTGACATAAAAATAAACATAAAAACCGTAAGGACTTATTTGCCAACCCAATTGAATGTGTGGCTAAATAATATAAATAAATATAAGTAGACAGGTGCTGTAAAGCACTTTATTTTGATTTTATAAATATCTATCTATTACCTATTACCTTCAATAGACAGCCCTCCTCAATCTTCCAATGTCATAAACAGTGCTGGAAGATTTCTTCTGTAAGCTCCTTCAGGAGGTGTGCCGCTTTCGTTTCGACATCGACATTACCAGATTCACATATTGAACTCCGTGGAAGAATAATGAAAAACGACTCGACAATTTATGGGTTAATGATCAAGACAATACGCTCATTTTCCATTGTCTGTCAAAAAGTTTCAAGCCAAGTACACAGGATACCATTGATAGACCATCCACCTTATTCGCTGGATCTTGCACCGTGTGGCTGCTATTTGTTTTCTGTTATGAAATCTGCATTAAAAGAAACAAGAATCGGGTCCGTTGAAGCTGTGAAAGAGAAAGTGGCACCCGTCCTTAAGGAGCTGACAGAAGAAGACTTCCACCCCTTTTTCAGACAGTGGATGAATGATTCGCATAGAGTGTCTTGGGGATATAAGAGGGATGTATAATGAAGGATAATATGTAAATAACACCAGTTTTGTTAATTCATAGCCAAACCTCGTATTTAGATTTAAACAGCTTAATTAAGCTCACAAAAATATTAAAATTATTTCCACTTAGTTGTTAAGAATATAATATCATAGATATTAAGAGGCAGAGGAACTAGAGGTAGCCAGAAGATAACAATATTTTTTGTAAAGAAAAAAATATCCGCCTCACATTATCTCTCATCATAACTGATAATTTATGCGCTGAATATGTAGGAATAAATTCTATATTAAAGAGAAAAGTACCTTCGATGAATGACTTGATCACGTTACCTGTCTAAATCGGGAGTGGGGTAGCTCAGCACTGATCTTCCAAGGTCCCAGGTTCGAATCTGGACTCATGGCAGGAAAATTATTTATTCTGCTTCATGAGCCGTGGGGCGACCCTGTGATCAGGAGAGGGCACACAGGGTATCCTATTATTATTATATTATTTAATTAAGGGTACCCACAGCCCCTATAAAGTGGGTACCCTTAATTAAATAATAAATTAAGAGGGAAAACCTGGCGGTTGAGCGTGATCTCAGTCATATCACCTCCTTATACATCCGTTGACCAAGAAACAGTAGTTTCCCTAAATAGTACTGAACCCAAAGACCCTTCATGGGTTGTAGTGGTACAGGAACCACCTCTCTAAATCTGGAACAAATAGTATGAAAATTCTAAATTTGAACCGTTGTCATAAAGTATGTATTTTTTGTATTTCTTGGGGGTGTTATCAAAACGTAATATAAAAATTAGTTTTTCGAATTTTTCAGACCGTTTGAATATTTAATTTCTTAGTAAATTAAGCACGGAACATCGGTTGAAAATCACTCAACTATAAGATACCTAATCGAATTGAATCCATTGATGTATTGAGAACACCGAGAAAAAAATAGTCCGGAATTTAATGATAACAAGGACTAAAATGATAAACTCGAAAGAATCGTACTTCATTACTCTCAGTAATCGTAATAAACAGTTTTAAGAAAATTAAAGCCTTTAGTTACATTTAAAAAAAATAATTAAAGAACAGATTTCGCTTAGCACGCATAAGTTTCCTCAAACGATTAAGGACCATATTGCTAGCTTACCTCTAAAAGTAAATAGTACCTAAGTAAATAGGAATAGAGTTAAACCTATAAGCTTTCAGAAGTCGTCGAAGAAGAGTTCTATTTTTTTTTTTGTTTATTTTTTCTTTCTACGATTTTTGCCCGTTGCAAATATAGAGTTTGAATGAATTCCAAGAACACCAATGCCAAATACCGAAGGACTTTATTATAAAACTCACTTTTCGTTTTGGAACTTAATAAAATTGAAACTTATTTGAATTTTTAGCTTCCGCTTACCTATACCTATATGAAATACAATATACTAGTTGGCCCGTGCGAAAAATTCGCAGAAAATTTGGTTTAGTGAAGAAATGGCAAAACAATATGGAAATAAGTAATTCCTATGTATTATATAAGGAAGGAATTAATATTTCCTTGGTCGATTACAATATTCCATTAAACATAATAGACCAAAATATTTGTACACATTGCTTTGCGAGGACCTATTTTTAAACGATGACTGGAAAGATATTAAAAATAATAAAGACAATATAATTCCCCGATCATGAGATATTCTAAATTATTAAAAAAAAAATAAAACGTGAGAACAACCAAATGTCTTTAAGAAATAATAAAGTTAATTGAAAAGCCAGGGAAAAAAATGTAGTAGACTATTCTATTCATGAATGCAATTCTTTAAACAGGAAGACATTATTAAGTATACCAAAACTAATGGACTGTATATTTGATAATAATTGTCCGATTATTACAATTGTTTTTTTGTTTTGTAGGTAATTTAGTAATCTTTCTAATTATCATGGGTATAATCAACAAAAAAATGTATACTTTTTGAGTTATTCGCAAATAAAGGTTATTTTCCTCCATAACTTTTTCCCCCAGTAATTTCGGGGGGATGAGACTAGTTTTCGCATGTGAAGGAGGAGAATATCTTCAAAATGAGTGGTCAATCATTAGATTTGATGAAGAATTGACGAAGTTATGGCGTACCAACAAAAAAGAAAAACACCTTTTAGAAATAATATGTAGGATTGTGAGGGTATCGGGATCGTGAATTCTATTCGACTATTTCATCAATGCTTAGGACTATAAATAATTGTATTTGGTAGCATTCCACAGCTTATGAAATTAGCCGAATATTATTCATGGAAGATCCCATTGTTTTTATTGGAAGCTAATATAGAGACCACTAAAATAGAGTTAATTAATATAAGATTGTTTTTTTATTATCAATGAATTGACGGAACAATGTTTTCAAATATTGTTGAGAACTAGTTGGTAGATCGTATTTACGAATCTTTTTTTTTTTTGCAACATTTTGTAACTAAAAAAAAAATGAAATAAATAAATGCATAAACTGCTTCCTTCCATAATTAGGATTTTATATGCCGTAAAATTTAGATGAAGGTAGCTTATGCAAGCAGGAGCTATTAGCAACCGATTTATGAGTTTCTGCTCGTAGGTCTATTCGAGGAGGCACTGGACGAGGTCCAACATTCTTCAACCGTCTTTACTCAATCTCACGACCGGCGGGATGAAGAATAAATGTGTTTCGGATAAATTAATTGATAGCAACACCCTGGTTTGGCTAATGGGTCCGATGGTAAATTCAACAAGGGGCCGCTAAGCGCTGTCCTTAATTATAGCATCGGGAGGTTAGAGCGGAACGGATTGTGTACAAGTGCTCCCAGCCAATGACAATAATAGCCCTTTGATTCACATCCTATAAACAGTACTATAAACTTGAATTTAGAATTGTATCTATTGAAAACATGTAAAAAATAACTTCAAATTTTTATCTCAAAAACTTCATTTGTATATTATCTGAATTTTTAAATAATTCAGACAGCGAGTTCGACGGCGTATGCACCCCCTACATAGAAATTTGATTGTTCCTCTCTTCTTGAAAACATTGCAATCGGAAGTAAAATTAAAAAGCGAGATTATCGTTCCGTCCTCCCTCCTTCTAAATTTCGAAGAACAAAAATGAAATCAAAATCAATAACAATTAACCTATATTGATGAATAAAATATGTAAACCAAAATCAATTAATAAAATATCAAAAGTCGACTAGATGACTGAGCTAAAACCTAAAATTAGGTACGAAGTATTTTACTACGTCTTGTATCCTGTTATTGTAATTTTAGTTCATATTCAAAGCCATGTAGCAACATATCCTAGGATATTATGATTCCTTCAGGCGAACACTTCCATTTTTTTTTTATTGGAGAATTGTGAGGTCATCACACTACCTCAAACCTCAATCTGGTGTGTCCACTCACACGACTTTCCTACCTATTTCAGAAATGTTTTTATATCTTTACATATGTCCATAAAGAAACAAAAAAAAAATCGAATTAGATTTACTTTCCTGATTCCTGAAAATTGATCAAAGAATGATTTGAGTACGATTTATTTGGTAAAGTAAATCAATGTAAACCGACTTAAGGTAGATCAGTGTAAAAATGACCAGTCAAAAACTTTTTGTCATGGCCTAATTTTATCAAACAATAATTCCTGTTAAAAGTAGAGGAAATAGTAAAGCTTGTGTGACGCGGACTCAGAGGGCTCTGAAACATATCCGTCGAAAATCGCATAACAGAAATTTGACCGGATCGTAATACTTTCCTTACATAGTATAGGTAGGAAAGTAATAAATTAAAACATGTGTAGAGAATAGAAAACGCTGTATCATCGCTAATACTGCTTCGATCCCGATGATTTTTTTTTTTTTGTTGGTAATTTAATTACCTTTCAGAAGTTTGATTATAAATATTATCACAGAATATATACTTAGCGAGTTAGGCCCCAAAACATTTTCCTTTTCTTTATAACTTTTTTTAATGATTTTTTTCGGGCATTTAGTCTATGTACGAAAATTGAAAGGAAAATTATTAGAACACTATAGGAAAGTTTCATTGCGCTATTGCGCATGGAGCATCAGTTGTGTCACAGGCATCAGTAATCAAAACCCTACAAAATAAAAAAAGAAGCAACAAAATCGGTTCACTAGTTCTCGATATAATCTTGGCATAGATAGATAGACAGACCAATGTGTTTTTCCGACTAAGGGAGCTCTGAAACGTATAGATCCGTCAAAAACCGCATACTGGAAATTTGACCCGATCGCAATACTTTTCTTACCTGGTAAGAATGTAAAATGTAATATTTTCTTCAATTTGTTTGTACTATATTGTTCGTTTTACAACAATTATGTTAATTATCACTCATAATTTTTATGCACAATATAAACATCCAATACTTTTTTTGGCGGGTCATCGGATACTTCCCCATCCTGCCCCAACCAGAATGGAAAATCTGCTCCTATGGTCAAAATAAGTATTTTTTTCAACCTGAAATCCTGTAATTACGTTTATTTTTTCTAACGTTTTATAATATATTTATATACGAAGTTCTGAAAAATTAATATTTTTCATTTCAAATATTTATTTGGGCTAATCTAGTTTTCTAATTGCCAAAAATTTAAAACATTCATAATATACCTCTGAAGCCTTAGTATGATTAAAAACAGACAATTAATTTATCTTTCTTTTTATTTTGAAGGATAGGAGGTAAAAAAATTGCTACAAACATCACAGTAAGTTAATCGTTGAACTATGATGGCGAATCATACAAAATTGAACCCCTTGGGTAAACGATCAATGAAATTATTTATTTTAATATTATCATATTTGGAGAAAATCCCGCTACATTTGCCATAAATTATGTAACATCTTTTCCTGAACCTTGAAATTAATTAATTCTTATGTTCAGATATAAAATTCGATTTACAATTTACGCTTGTATTTTTCATAAACCACAAGTAATCTCTTAATAGAATATCAGATCTGCTGCTATTCTGAAATGAATAAAATTAAAAAATAATTTTTTTTTTTGAAGTAGTCGCTATTTATTTTAGTTAGATAACTGTGCTAATTATTTTTTTTTAATATCTGTTTTTTTAATCAAATAAGATTTTGCAATGTATATATTTTTTACATCTTAAGTATTTGGCACTGTAAAATTGAACACTATTAGGATGACTTAAATACAGTAGACTCCCGCTTATCCGTCCTCGTCGGAACCGAGATATCACCGTTTAAGCGGAAGACCTGATTAATAAGAAGTGTAAAATTAAAAAAACTTCAATATTATTTTAACACTTATATTACTGGAAAATATTTAAATGTTTATCTTTCAATGAAACAACACCTCGTTTTTTGTTTTGTTTTTTACTCATTTTGTCACGCAACTTAATTGAACGATAAGTGTAATACAACTGAAACGAAAAATGTAGTACACAAACAAAAAAACGCGACTAAAATCTTTTCAAGAAAATGTGTAATGTCTAACGTCGGTAAAATACGCGGTTTTTCATTACAACGAAAAACAAATGAATTTTACTTTACTAACATCTACAATAACAGCCTTCATATTTTTTTCCCGAAAATCACAAAAAGTTGTGATATCTTCGACATGGCTCCACTTATTCACACTCACTCATTAACATGCATCTAGGGGCCTATGATAAACACGAAATCGCTCAAACCAGACGCACGTAAATAAATTAGGCTTGGACATAAAAAATAAAAACGTTTGGGAATTTTTTATTTATTTATCCCAATAGTTTCATTGAAACCACGTCCACAACCTCCCCTTGTTATTGTAACAGTTGACAAAAAAAGTAGACAATATAGATTACATTATATTTTTTTTATACATACACGTTTATAATATCTATTATAACATGAATGTCATGTTTATATATACTATAAGTGTATGGCGTTCATATTATAAAATGGACGAATTCATTAGGCTGAACAACAATTATGAATTATAACTGGAATCATCAATAAATTTAATTTTTACGTCGCAAGGGCGGTGATATTTTATAGTACCTTCATCAATTATAAAGTTTTTAAATGTTGATATTACATAAGATATTTTTAACTTTACCAATATGTAATTTTGTATACTTTTTTTGTCTTTTCAATATTTAGACAACTATAGCAGTTTTGTTTTTTTTCCAAGCGGCTAAGCGAAGGATTATAAGGTATATTATTAAATTATATAACAGTAATATGTAAACACGCTTACGAATTCATTATAAAGTCATTACATTATACATTATTATGTTTCTTCTCGTTCTGTTCTCCTACATATTAAAGATCTTTCTGGCGATCGGCCTCCTCAATAAAAATAGAGAGGCGGCAAAAATATCATTTCACTCCATCCTCCCCCCAATATTTCAAAGAACAAAAATAAAACCAATTAACAATAACAATTTATCTACATAAGTGAATATAATATGTAAACTAAAATCAATTAAGGAAATAGGAAAAGTCGACTAGATAGTTAAGGTAAGACCTAAAAGTAGATACGCAAATATTTCATCACGCCATATCGCTTCTGTTAGTAAAAAAATATCGTATTTGAAAATTGAGTATTTTTACAAGAGAGCATAAAAAATTATTTATTAATTATGATTTCATATTGCATTTCCTTCTATTATTTTCCATAGCAGCAGACTACAAAATGTCACCTTTAGCACAAATAGAATAGGATTGTAAAATTGTTACATGCGATCTTTTACATTAAAACTAGCGATATGTTCCTACTATTGAAATTTTAGTTTATATTCCAAGATAATAAATTACATGTAGCAACTTATTCTAGGATTTTAGTTTTTCATTTATGCGCGCACTTCCATTTCTACGTGAAGATTTTATCCCGCGGTAAATTTGAAGCCTTGACGAATTGAGCCTTAAACCTTTAAATAGAAATATGTAATATATTCAAATGCTTTGTTAACATATTTTTAAATATATCCATACGTAAAAAAAATTAATATATAAACATCTATATAAATTTGTTTTTAAATAGAGTCATATTGTCCGTTTTACAATAATTATGTTAATTATTACTTTTGAGACTTTTTTTATTTTAGTAGGAGTCCATCGTCCCTCTAACCAAAATGGAAAGTACGTGACTATATGTCTAAGGTGTCATATTGTTTCTATAAATTCACTAATTAGTGAAAAAAAATTTATGATATATATATATATACTTATATACTTATACATATACATACATACATATATACACATATATAATTACTTGTTCATTAATACAAATAATTTTAATTATAAATATTATCGATCAGGTTCTCCTTGCCGAGCTGAAAGGTTCCAATTGCTACTACGCTGTGAAGGCCCTCAAGAAGGATGTCGTCTTGGAAGACGACGACGTTGAGTGCACGATGATTGAAAGAAAGGTATTGACGCTTGGGACGGGGCATCCCTATTTCTGCCACCTCTTCTGTACATTCCAAACCGAGGTAGGGAGTTATACATTGACATATTATATAATATTTTGTAAAAATATCGTTCTGCAATGGCAAAACTAATAAATTAATATGGATCCAAGTATTGACTGGTTTAGATTCAATTGAAAGAGGGGTGAATAATACATTATTTATATTTTAAAAATGTGAGTACTAAACAAGTTTAAGTGTAAATTCAAAAAAACTAAAAACTGGCCAGTAAGTTAATTGGCATTCTAATTTTTTTTTTTTTACTTTTATATATTTGATCATTGTTTTTTATTTGTCTCTATGACTGCAGCCACCAACTAACTTTCTTAAAATATTATCTAGATCACACTAGTTTTCCGCCCAAAAAAAAAAAAAAAATGTTCACTTCAATAAATTTTTCTGAAAATTCACATTTAAAAAAAAAAAGGCGCATCTTTTAAATTATGTTAAACTGTTTTTCTATGAACACTGTTGAAGTTTTGGTGAAATATGGCATCACAAAGTTTCGCGGAATTATTTATTGGAGTTTCGAAAAATAATCATGTAATAAAAAATATCTCTATTTATCCACGACTAAGTCATTTTAGAATAAATTAAATATGCATCACATGATGGCCAAATCGGTGTTGCCTAACTGTTTTTATACCTAACATAAGTATTCTCAGTAATGAAATAAATAGGTAATTTAATAAATCAAATACAAATATAATATAGAAGAAAAGCAGGTATAAAAAAAATATTAATATAAAAATACATTGAGAGAATAACTTCCAATATAAAAATTTTCAGTGAAACAAATTTGAAATAAAAAAATATATCGACTGCCACACTCCAAAAGCATGTAAGAATAATATAATTAGAATGTGCGGTTTTAGCTTTCCCAATTATTCTTGGCATCGTACTTGTTCATAAATACAAACTAAAAACTTCATTTAGAACATTATATCTTTGTCTTATGTATACAGTCTAAAATGAACGGAAAAAATACTTCATAAAATAAGAAATACGTGTGTAATTTCGTTTTTTAAATAATATTATATTTTTCACAGGCTTTTACAATATGACTGTCGATGTATTTCATCACACAATAATCTAAATCAGAATGGGTGAGGATTAAGGTGGTTAAAAAGAATACTATAAATTTGAAGCATTAATATGAGGAATATTCGAAACAAAATACTAAAATTGTATTCTTATTATTATTCTACTATTTTGTAAATACTACCGCAGATAAGTTCTGTTTATTGCAAAAATTACATAACATAACTTCATTAAATCACAAAGAACTTTGATGGATTTCCTCTTTGTGAAATCAGAAAATTGTGCTGTTTTTGTAGCTACATTTGTTGCATAAAATCAAACTTCACAAAAACGTTCTTAAAAGTTCTACTATATCAAAATGTACTTAGTGACTTTTTTGTGCAATAAAAAGAAACATAAATATTATCAGCATACTTCACATCGATTTGACATAATTGAAGTGAGTTATCACATATCTATGTAAAAAAAAAAATAATGAAAAGGTTTATGAAAAAGCGAAACAAAAATTATTTGAATGCACACAACAATATTTGAAACGGAAATGAAAGAATGTTAAAAAAATCTATCAATAAATAACTCAGGACGGAATTAGGAAGTACTGCGAACTTCATGTACAACGTCTTCCTAAACATCAGTAGAAACGTAAATTTGAAAACTTCGTATTTCCTCATCCTAGACACGACCTAATAATAGCTTGGCCAGAGTAATGCGGATTTCTCAAGACCTTCACATACCATCTCATCGTAAATTCATCAAAATAGTTAAATTCCACGTGTCTTCCACATATTTACGATTCGATGTTAAGCTCTCAACTTAAATTTGATGAAATAATACTTTAAAGCCAATAAAAAATAATAGTACTTACATAATAATAGTGTTTAAATCACAAGCAAATACACACACACATACACGTATACACATACAACTCACAATCAGTAAAATAGCAAAACTAACAGATAAATAATTGATTATATTATCTATGAAAATGTGTAAATGCGTTAGTTTGTGAAATAAATTTAGTTGCTTAAAATATATATAAATATGAGGGTTCAATTAATATTGAAAATACTGGAGAAATTATTTACAGTATATTTTCATAAGAGAAGTAGGTTGGAGTTCGCGGTAATCAGAAGTACAAAAAAAAAACATTGTTTGCACAGACACATTCTCGTCCTAAGTTCCAGGCCATCATCAGAATTAAGCAAACAGTAAATAACAAATAAATACTGAGAAAATAATTATATAGGTATATGTAAATAGTTACGTATTAATATTAAATAATATATGGAATGGAACAACGGCACGTGTGAACATTGGGGGTGGGGTTGATCGAGCGGGCTAAAACGTGTGCACAGCAACGCGCGTTGCCTGGCAACTCAGATAGAAAATAATATCTATAAAATGATACCGAGTTTGCGTCCCGGTGCCAAAGGGAGCTTTTAGCTCTGGCTAACATCCCTCGCTCTCACATCCTGGCCCGGGAAAATCTGTATAACTTTGTATATAAATCACTTTGTAAATAAATCACTGAGCACAAATAACTAAAATATCCAAAAATTTCTCATTTATGAGTCTTCCAGTTGACAGAATGGCTAACTCCAATTTCAACATTTTGGATTAAAATCATTTTAATGCTATTTCTAGTTAGGAAATTTATAATATCTATACAGACAATGAGTAAATTGATTCCAGAGTAGGTAATTGTATTTTTGAAATATAGAACTGTGAATAAAGGTATAAATTTTCCCAATAGAAATATAACTAAAATTAATAATAAAAATGTTGAAATTGGAGTTAGTCATTCTGTCAAGTGCAAGACTCATATAATATTTAGAATATTTGCGCAAAAATATGATAACTCAATCCAGAATTTGACTAAACAACATCAAACACATAACTAACTTCATGTGATGTGTTACATATTCAGTTCTATCTACAACAACTCAATAATAACATACAAAATAATATTAAAAATAAAACTAGAATTTTTTTACAGTCACACCTGTTCTTCGTGATGGAATACCTCAATGGAGGAGACCTCATGTTCCACATCCAAGAGTCAGGTCGCTTCGATGAAGGTAGGGCAAGGTTTTACGCAGCCGAAATCGTCTCTGGATTGAAATTCCTGCACAAATGGGGAATAGTTTACAGGTATTTAGTCTTTTTAAATATATTTTTTTTACTAAAAACCTTTTAGTATTTAGGACTTTAACAATATCCCACCTATCCCTATTGAACAAATCCGACACCTAGGACTCCAGCTGGACAAACAACTCGGAATCCTCATACCAGACTGATACAACAAGAAACCGCTCGGCTACTCCAGCACTTACTAGACAAACGCTCTCAACTTCCAATTACTTACAAAAGACTCATATAAGTATATTACTATAATAAGGCCTATGTGGACTTACGAAATCGAGCTTTAGGGCCCTACTATAGCATAAAATTCCTCTCCTATCCAATCCTTAAAATCCAAAATCCTTCGTAAAATCGTCCATACTCCTTACTTTGTCATAAATGAAATCATCCATAAAATAATTAAATAAATGTCCCATATGTTTCCGATTTAGCTTAATCCAGATACCTCATCTTCCATAATAAACTTCTGAACCATCTCAACCTTCCTGTTTCTAACCTTGCTTCCTCTTCTGTTCCTGATAACTCTCTGAGGTGTCTGAAAAGAAGATGGCATCGATACCTTCTAAAATAGAACTTTAATTGGAGTTCTACCAATGGGTAGTTTCTCTTCATGTTGTACATATGCTACTAATTTCAAATTTACTTGTTGTATCTTTCATGTAATACAGTTGTAAATTTCAATAAATATGTTTAAAAAAAAAAGTATTTAGCACAATTTGATCGGAAATTTAAATGTAGTGAAGGTATGTCTATGAAATAAAACGGGTAATGATTTCGTACAAACGAATTATTAATACCTTAAATATTTATCTTGGAAGAGATTAAGGCGCAACGGAAGTCAACTATAATATAACCCGTCAAAAATATTTTAAAGCCCTGTAGGCAGTAAATAAAAATAAATTTCAGTTCGTATAATATAATCAAAGATGGCTGCTTTTGTTAAAAAAAGTGTTGGCTAAAATAAATATCCACGTGACATTCAAATATGTGCTATTTTGAAATAGTTTCGGATAAAATTGTAAAAGAATAATATGAGTCATCGGTAACGTAAACTTTAAAACATTATGAGAGTAAAATTATTGTATAACTGTGTCATAATTCATTATTGCAAGAAACTCAGTTTCTTCACCAGTCATCTTATTTGCTTTCGAAGACCTGCATAGTAGGTCAAAACATTGGCATACACTGAATTTGTTTTATTCAACCTGTTTTCGTTTGATTTTGAACGGCAATTTGACAAATTAAAACGGTCAACTTTTTAAATCATAATAAAATAATACTAATACATATCTCGTCTATTCGCAAGTGAACCATGCAACTGTTAAAAACTTTTAACAACAATTATTTCTACATATGATAACTTTAATACAATATAAAATTACTGTTTTATTATTACTGTACAATACGCATTGATAGAAATAATGTAACAAAGGAATGTGATCGGTTATAAGTTAAAATCCTCATTTTTTCTTGATGATTTTTTTTTTTAGATTTCCATGGAATTCGGATGTTTAGTTAATAAAATTAAAATGTTTTCGGGAAATGCTGATTTACTTCCAGATAACAGAATACCCCAGGCATGTATTTATAAAGCCAACCAGGAGCGAAGCCACGTTTTATCGGAGATGGCAAGGATGCCAGAAATGAAGAGAAATGTGAGCGGGATTCTGAGAATGTATCAGGTGCCATGGCATCTAAAACAGGGATGGGGAAATTCAATTTTAGACAGCATATGAAAAACATGGTGCATGCTACGAAATGGTAGAAAATTTTAGTATGTAAATGGTATTACAACCTTCATTAAAATTCTAATTAACATAACTAAAGATATATTTTCATGGAACTTTGTTTCTTTTGTGAATAGAATACATATATATTATACCAAATGGGTCAGTTATTTATTGTGCGTATGTGACTCAGCTTATTGGATCCTAACATATATTATGAATATATATTTCTTGATACGTACTTACATTTAGTAGATGTATGTATGTTATACTTATATGCTGATCATTTCCGTTGCTTTCAGTATATAGGTCCGATCTTTAGTTTCTGAGATATTTTAGTCCATATCTTCCATAAAACTAGATATCAGTTGGTTTTCGACATTATTTTTCCCTTTTCGCTTCTCTAACACGGCTTCGCGTTAAAATACTATTTTGAATAATAGCTCATTTCAAAAAGGATGAAATGTTGAACATTTCACTTGCTTCCAGTATGCAGGTCCGATTTTTAGTTTCTTAGATATTTCAATCCATCTCTTCAAAAAAATTAGTTATTAGTTGGTATTCGAGATTCTTTTTCCCCATTTTACCCCTCTATTACGGTGTTGTGTAAAGATACAATTTTGAATAATAGCTCGCGTAAATATCTAGTTTCCGATATTTTGATTCATATCTTCAATCAAACTAGTTTCTTTTTTACCTCACCCACACGAAGTACCGTTAACATACAATTTTGAGTAACAGTTTATTACAAAGAAGACAAAATTCTAAACGTTTCCCTCGCTAACAGTGTGCCTATTTTTAGTTTCTGAAATATTTCAATAAAAATGCAAAAACACATTAAACATTCACTGGTGTACTTAAAGTAGAAAAGAGTCATGATTTTTAGCGACTAAACCTGGATATGTTCTGTTTTTCTTAAATTAATTAAAAATAATAATTACTCACAAATTTTTCTTTAAACTTATTCCTTGTTCTTTGCTAATTATTTGATTAATAAATAACAGTGTTACGATATAGAAATAAAAACTGTATATAATATGGATTCAGCGATCTTCTTTTTCTCACAGACTTTTTTTCGTCTTGAAAATTAATTTTGATTAACTAAAAGGATTCAGTATGGATTTATTTTGCTTGACAATATAAACCTATTGTTTCTCTTTCCAAGAGAAAAATGTGTATCATTTTTATTCTATAACTAAACAAATATTTAATAATAATAGTAATAAAAAGGCTTAGCGAACCCGAAGGTTCGATGCCGACACCACCAATCGCTTATTACACACCTCCCTCCACCGTTCGCCGTCCAAACCCAGTCCCTTCAGATCGGCTTTAATGCAATCTTCCCACCTTCGCTTCGGTCTACCCCTCGGACGCTTACCATTCGGCACAGCAAATATTAACCTTTTAGGAATTCTCTCGTTACTAAGCCCAACAACTTTACAAGCCCATTTGATTCGCCGCGATGAAATTACCTCAATTATATTACCCGGATACAGCTCACGCAATTCGGCGTTGTGTAACCGTCTGAACTCTCCGGTTAACTCATCCTTCTTCGGTCCGAATATTCTACGCAATACTTTATTTTCAAAAACCTTAAGACGCTGCTCATCCCTTAATGTAAGCGGCCAAGTTTCGCATCCATAAAGAACTGTAGGCAAGATAATTGTTTTATAGATTCTAATTTTTAAGTTTCGGGACAAGAGGCGCGAACTAAGTAGTTTTGTCACAGAAAAATAACAAGCATTCCCCGCCTTCAGTCTAACCTTAATCTCTTCTTCAATTTCGTTTTTTCTAGTTATCGTAGAACCTAGATACCTAAATTTATCTACCTGTTCAAACATATTACCATCTATATCGATATCACCAGTAGTATCGCCATTTTTGCAGCTAACCATATATTTTGTTTTATCCACGTTTATTTCGAGTCCTAGTTCTTTACCGGCTTTCATTAACGTTGTCGTATTTAGTTTTATAGTTTCAACGTCTTCGCTTAACAGTACCAGATCATCAGCATAGCCCAGCACGGATGTTGTCCCGCCCAGATCCAACCCTTTCTCGGTTCGCATTACCTCCCTAATGGCATGTTCTAATGCCAAATTGAACAGTACAGGCGAAAGGAATCCCCCTGTTTTAAGCCCGAACGAACCTCAAATTTTTCGGACAAATTATTACCGATTCTAACTTTATTGAGTGTCTCCGTCAAGCACATCCTGACTAGATTTACTAGTTTTTTTGGAATCCCCTGCTCGATTAGAATATTATACAGTTTCTGGCGGTCAATAGAATCGTAAGCCTTTTTAAAATCTATATACAGCTGGTGAACAATACCGTTGTACTCCAATTTTTTCTCTAATATTTGCCGTAAAGAAAATATTTGATCAATAGTCGAACGATTCCGTCTAAATCCGCATTGGTAGTCTCCGATAATTTCCTCGGCGTATTCCGTGATTCGACTGGGTAAGATTAAAGTGAATATTTTATAACATACCGGAAGGAGTGAAATTCCTCGATAGTTATTACAATCCGTCCTCGGACCCTTTTTGTGAATCGGAATAAGAATAGATTCTTTCCATTCTTCAGGTAATTTCTCGTTCACCCAGATCTTTTTAACCAACCGATGTATTTTAGAAACTCCAGCTTCCCCGCATGCCTTAATTAGTTCAGTAGGAATATTATCGATTCCCGCTGCTTTATATGATTTTAATTTTCCGATAGCTACTTCAACTTCCTCTTTACTTGGTCCTTCTATTAACGGTTCAGCACTCTGGTACTCAGAAGGAGGACACAGATCATAATTTCCCGTATTTAAAATATTGTCAAAGTGGTCCTTAAACTTATTCAATATGTCAACCGGATCGGTCAGAATATTGTTATTATCATCCCTAATTCCAGACGTTACGGGCCCTACATATTTACGTGATCTGTTTATACCTTTGTACATGTCTCTTACGTTATTTTCGATTCTATTAGTTTCTATTTCAATTATTTTATTTTTAAGATACTCCCTTTTTTTATTTTTGAGCAATTTTGTCGTTTCGTTCTTTGAGATTCGGAAGTATTCCAGATTGTCTTCGCTAGGATTATTTAGAGCTTTTAATTTAGCGGCTTTTCTTTTTTCACACATGTTTAAGCAATCTTCATCAAACCACGGTTTGTTATTCTTATTTTCCTTTTTTCCTAGACACGAGTTACCGACCGCTTTAATATTATCCCTGATCTCTACCCATAACTTGTCAATATCCTCGTGGTCCTCGTCAGGAAGCTCTAAAGCTTCAAACCTATTCTTAACATCTAGCTCGAATTGGTTTCTAATTGATGGATTTTTTAATTTTTCCAAATTAAAATTCTCAAAATCGAAACGGTTTTCTTTTCTCTTTTTTATATTAAGTTTTTGTCGAAGTTTCGCGATTACTAATTCATGATCCGACCCACATTCTGCTCCGCGATAAGACCGTACATTAATTATACTGCTTTGCCAGCTGTGTTGTATCAAGACATGATCGATTTGATTTCGTGTTTGCGAATCCGGTGATGTCCAAGTATATTTATGAATATCCTTATGTTTAAACGTCGTACTTTTAATTATCAGGTTTTTCGAGATGGCAAAGTTTATCAGACGGATCCCATTATCATTACTATATTCGTGCAAACTTTCTTTACCAATCGTCGGAATATAAACTTCTTCCCTTCCTACCTTTGCGTTCGCGTCACCTACAATTATTTTCATGTAGTTTCGCGGTAGTTTATCATAAACCCATTCGAGTTTATCGTAAAATTCACTTTTGACTTCATCGTCACTGTCTTCGGTCGGACAATGTATGTTTATTAATGCGATTTTAAACCAACGTCCCTGAAATGTAGCTACCGAAATTCTATCACTAAAGAATTGTACGTCCCTCAAAGCGGATAGTAATCTACTCCTAATTAGAAACCCGGTACCTAAACAATGATTCCCGCTTCCTCCGTACCAAATAGTGTACTTTCCTTCCCTCATCGAGCCCTCCCCTGGCCAGCGAACCTCTTGCAGAGCCACGACATCCAAATTGTACCCATTTACCTCATTCGCGACCGATTTTAGCCCCCCTGCTGTGTTTAAACTCCTTACGTTCCACGTACCAATATTTAAATCCCTATATTTCAACTTGCGCCATGAATCCCCTAAAGCAGTCCCCACCCGGAGACCCGAACGGGGGACTAGTTTACCTCCGGATAATGAGCGTTTTACCTTAGGGAGATCCATGACTTTTTGTGGTGTTTGGTGAACTAAAGATATGTGAGTAGGGCGTTCAATCCTACGTCACACCCTCCAGCAAGTCTGGTGGGCCCCTACCTCCAGCAAGTCTGGAGGTCCCCTCCCTCCAGCAAGTCTGGAGGGCCCCTCTCATTGTTGGTCAGCGAGTCCATCGGACTTAGCCGGGAGGAACTTCCAAGGAATTTCCACCGACCATCCCCACATCCGCCACCCGTGGGACGCTCCCCATACGCGGTAATGAGCCCGCGCGAGGAAACAAATATTTAATGATACCATTAATTAAAATATCAAGAAGAGTGGATTTTATCCCATTTGAGATAAGAAACGCTTCATTACTTATAGCTTGGTAAAATAAACGGTTGGTTGCACTGTTTTATTTATTACTTTTTTAATCAGATATTACAACACTGTATTTTAGTTTCATTTTGTTACAAAAAATATTTAAAAATGTAGGACAATCGTTTACTGAAACGCAAATATTAATATAGAGTCGTAGTAAATATTTATCTAAATAAAAAATTATGCTTGTATCAAACAGGGTCATAGATCGAGAAGGTTTTACACTAACTAGATGTTTTTATTAATAAATTGATCTCATATTGTTGAAGCTTTACAGTAAAGTGTCAAAAATATAATGGAGTATTCATAACAAGAATAAGAAAACGGCTTAAAAACCAATCTTATTGGGAGGAATATCTTTATATGAGCCTTTCATCAGTTGACAGAATGATTAACTCCTATTTCAACATTTTACATTAAAATGGTTGTAGTGTTTTTCGTTGAAAATCTGTTACTTTTACAGAAGTATTAGTTATTGATAATATTTGGGGTCAGCCATTTTTTTTGAGAAAAATGAAGAATGAAGAATTTTATAAAGAAAAAACAGAAATATAATTGATACTAACTTAATAAAAAAAAAAATGTTAAAATTTGAGTTAGTCATTCTGTCAACTGAAAGGCTCAAGAATTACTTACAAAGGTGCCACAATTATCGCACGCATCTTAAACAAAACAGTAACTGGACATAACTGAAATTTTTGTTTCAGAGATCTCAAACTGGATAATGTTCTATTAGACTTTGATGGCCACGTGAGAATAGCAGATTTTGGTATGTGCAAACTACAGATTTATTTGGACAAAACCACAGATACATTCTGCGGAACACCAGATTACATGGCGCCGGAGGTGAGATTTCAAACAATAATATCGTTTCGTTTTTAGATATTGGCTATTTGTATCAGTATCAAGCTATAATGTGCTTCACGGGCGGATCTACGGGGAGGGGGGGCTTTCGGGCTGAAGCCCCCCCCCCCCAAAAATGGTAAAATATAACCATGGTTTATCGAAAAAAATATTACAAAAGTATCTCTTAAATTATTGTTATTCGTGTAACTACATTTAAAAGGGCTTGAGGAATAACTTAAACACCATTTCATACCGGTAGTTAGTTTCTTTCTTTTTTTCCTAAGTAATTATCGTTATTTTTATAAAAAAAAAAATGTTGGGGCTGAAGCCCCCCCCCAAAAATAAATCCTGGATCCGCTAGTGATGTGCTTGAAGAAAAGGCACTAAGAAATTATGTATTGTAATGTAATGAACGTCGTTTAATAGATAAATTGCTAATTTGACCATCTGTTCATTTTCAATAGTTGTTTTTATATAAATGTTTATCTGTTTTCTTAATACTTAACTCTTATTCATGTTTAAAATTACAGTTGTGAACATAGATTTCATTTTTATTCATTTATCTTTTGCACTGTTTTTAAGGTCGTCAAATTTAAGGTGTTTAGAAATTTTATACAAACTATTGAATTATGGGAAATTCTATAATTCGGTCACTCTACCCAGCAAAAAAAAATAAAAAAAGAATTGCTGTGATGCTCTGATAATGGCTGTTCCACAAACTAAAACATTTTCACTACAATACGTTAATTACTCAGGAAGTGGAAAAAAGGAAACTATATAATTTTTATTTTTATTTGTTTATTTTTATTTGTTTTCAATGGATTACTTGTTTATTGATAAATATTACAATCTATATAAAGGACATTTATGATAAAGTTCAGAGAGCACATTCACAACATTATTTTTTATTTTTATGTCCTGAAGATTTTACGGAAAATCCTATTTTGCCAATAAAATGATGTTTAAAGGACCCTTGTTTTTTAACTTACATATCTTTAGGTTATTTTATTTTTTTATTGTACATAGTTTTTGATTATTATTTTACTTTTGTTAATTTTATATTTTCTGTATATATAGTGTAAATGTGTTCATGTATCACTAAACTATAAACTATTAACTATTGTCCACGTGACAGATTGTTATAATTCTAAATAAAAAAAAAAAATAATAAAAAAAGGACCCTTGAAAATCTGTTAAAAAATAATGAAATAAATATTACTTAAGGATAAACGTTTATATGTTTTTCTAGACACGTGCTTACATTTAGTGACTGTATATGCGTTATACTTTAAAAAGAGTACATATTGTGGTTGTTTAAATATTCATCTCATATCTTTCACAGAAAGAAATATGGTCAATGAATAAAAATTATTTTTCTGTTTTGGAGAGGCTTTCAGCCCGAAAGCTCCTTCCCCGTGGATCTACCTGTATTATTATATTAAGTCTCTGTATTTTTTATTCAACTACCAATTGCTTGACAAAATTGATGAAACCCAATCAAAATACTGAGTTATCAACTAAATATAATATGTAGAATTGCTTAACAGTTTTCACATTATTTATAAGGAAAAAATAAAATTTGGCCATAGTGACCGGGTGTTTTGAGGTCGAAGAGTAACTTCTTGTCTTTAGGATAGACGTATATTTCTGGCCAGTCATAAAATACATATACATGACAAGAAGTGGTCCACCTGTAGGATACTCGTCCATTTTGTTGAACAAAAAGGAAGTTAGAAAAAATAAACAAATAATAGTTATAATAGTTGGATTCATAAATAGTTTACACTTAAAAAATCTAAGTCCACAGGCGGATCTACGGGGGAGGGGGGCTTTCGGGCTGAAGTCCCCCAAATGGTAAAATGTGACCATGTTTTATTCTAAAAAATATCTCTTAAAGTATTATTGTTTACATTTAATAGGACTTCAAGTATCACCACTAGCGGATCCAGGATTTAATTTTGGGGGTAGTGGCTTAAAAATAACGATAATTACTTTGGAAAAACGGGAAGAAACTAACTACCTATACGAAATGGTGTTTAAGTGATTCCTTAAGTTTTTTTAAATGTAATTTAATTACACGAACAATAATACTTTAAGAGGTATTTAAAAAAAAAATTTCCATAAAACATGGTTATATTTTACCATTTTGGGGAGCTTCAGCCCGAAAGCTCCTCCCCCCCCCTCCCGATAGATCCGCCCGTGAGTATCACTTAAACACCATTTCATATAGGTAGTTAGTATCTTTCTGTTTTTCCAAAGTTATTATCGTTATATGAAAAAAAAAGAGCTTCCAGGCTGAAGCCCCCCTCCCCAAAAATTAAATCCTGGATCCGCTACAGTCTAAGTCTACCGAAGATTCTATTACTGGTTGTTCTATAATTATAAGGTAGATATACAACATAAGGTGTTGTTTTTGACAAAATTTTCTTTTTAACATAGATCATCAAAGGACTGAAATACAACCAGTGCGTGGACTGGTGGTCATTTGGAGTATTGCTCTACGAGATGCTGGTGGGCCAATCCCCGTTTTCCGGCTGCGACGAGGATGACCTCTTTTGGAGTATATGTAATGAAAGGCCTCAGATGCACAGATACTTATCGGGTGCAGCTAAATGTATATTATATGCCGTAAGTATACATTTTATTTGTAAGGCTAAGAGTGCCGTTGATATATGTTCTGACGAAAATGAACTCGCCAGATAGTGGATTTAGTGGAGGTGTGTTCATAATATCAGTTTCCTTCTGTCTACCAGCAAAGATGAAACACGTAGATGATGTGTGTTTGCTTACATTAAAGTAGTTATAAATAAAACAGTGTATAGAAGATATCAAAAAACAGGAAAGAAACATCTTTTAATCATTTATTTTTACGTTCACTTACCTATATAAAGAGGAAATATAGTGGTTGCGAAAAATAACAAACCCGTGTTTTCTATGATAATACACGTTTGTTGGTCTACTGTGTCCAAATAACCAAGTCACTGAGTGTAGGTTTGGGGTGTAATACCTCAGGTAGAGGTAATATAAAGGTAGGGGTACGGTCTAATTATTATTAACAATTTTTGATACCTAATATTTTTGAATGGAAACTAGATGTTTTTATGTTTGACAAACCAAAAATCGATAATGCATCGAATTGTCATTCTAGAAATATTTAAAAACTATTTTATCGTACTTAACTGATAGATGACGTGAAATACTGCATGTTGCTAAAAATACTTCAAGCAGCATTTACCTGTTGAAAAAAAAAATTTTTTACCAGTCTTGATCTTCCGCCTGAAACTTCGTAAATAGTTTCATCTATCTCATCGTAACCTACAACTATTTTATTTAAGAAAATTCTTGGAATTGGGAAGTTTTCAATTTGGAGGGGGGCAAACTCTGTCTATTTAATTCGGTACTAAAAACCCATAAATACCCATTTGCTTTCTACATGGATCGCAAGATAAATTGATCACAAAATCGACAAAAAAGGTGAACTACAAAAATATTGTACCGTTTGTCCAATATAACCTCATTATTTTGAAAAATTCCAAGTGTAGGTCACACTAAACAGCTCAGTATTTTTGAAGGCCGTCTTTTTTCTCGACTTTGTGATCAAATTATCTTACGATAAAAGTTGAAAGCAAATGTGCATTTACGAGTTTTAAGTCCCTAATTAAATAGACAAAGTTTGCCCCCCTCCAGATTGAAAACTCCCCAATTCCAAGAGTTTTCGTAAATAAAATAGTTGTAGGTTACAATGAGGTGAAACTGTTTACGAAGTTTTAGGCGGAAGTACAAGACTGGTAAAAAAAAAAATTGATTTTTTGAATAAAAATTAAGGGAAAATAGTTACTAAAACTTGACAATTTTAGTTACTACATGTAAAGGATTGGTATGACCAACATACTTTTGCATTTAACTCTTTTAATTTCTCATTCGTCTCTAGTTATGTTTCTCCTATCTAAAAAAATACAGTAATATCTCTATATTAATAAGCTAATATGTATCTACAAGACTGTTGCGAGACTCTTGTGGACAACACTAGATTTGATATACTTAATAATTTCTTCCTCTTTGATGTTACTGCATTTACTATTCCAGTACTCTTTTTTTCCTAGCTGATATATACTTTATTATTTCCTAAAGGTATTTTCTTCCAATAATTTATAAAATCTGATGATGAAGAGTTTATTTTGAATGTTACTTTCTAGTCAGCGTTAAAAATAGGCCGTAGAAAAGTAATTTGTACAAATATTTTGGTCGGTTATGTTAAATGGAATATTGTAATCAACTAAGGCAAAATTAATCTCTCTCACACATAATACATAGGATCTACTCATTTCCATACTGTTTTGCTATTCCTTCACTAAAAAAAAAAGAAAAAAAAATACTCTGCAAATTATTCGCACAAGCTAACTAGTATTGTTTATATTCGACTTCAATGAAAAGTTAGAAACTTAAGGTCGTTTCGTAATTACTGTTTTTCTATTCATTTCACAATTGCTGGATATCGAGTGCTTTCAATAAATTTAGAATTATATATATCGAAAGTTGTCACATTTCTAAACCTCGTTCATATTTTACCAAACCCTGGCTGTTGCTAATGATATATTGTTTGGATACACTCCAAAGTTGGGGTCGGCGACCGCTCTGGAGCCTATTGGCATTATGACAAGAGCTAAAACCATTGAAAAATGGATATGAAAACGGGACGATTCAATCGCCATTCAAGGGTCTCAACAACGCCTTCTCGCTGTTCCTTTTGTTCGAAAAAGAATGCTAATAGCGAGTCTGTGGGCAACAACTTTGATAATCGTTCTAAAGAATCGCTCATAGCGGACGAAAACGATTATTAAATAGAGGATAACACAGGAAGACATGCGGAACAAGTTGAATCAGCCGCATTTAGCTTTTCATCCGATCACTCATCAAGAGTATCATGGAAAAAGATGAGTAACTGCCTTGAAGAATATATCTACCTATCTGTAGCATCAACTGATCCCGTTTCAGTATTTTTTATTTGATTAAAGTAGAGCACTGTTTATTCGGAATAATGGGACTAAGGTTATTCCGAATAAGATGCGTCGTGATCATAAAATAAAAAAAATATTAAAATGAAATATTAACTATATTATGAAATGTAATTTAACATTGATATACTTAATTCTTACGAGTTTAAACAGTTAGGAGATACAAAACATAATGGAGAATGGAGTTCTTTGCATAATTTCAAATCCTAATTTACAAAAACTTTTATTAGCCGGTTAGAATTTGGTTTAAAAAAAAAATACATAGGATCCACTTTCAAGGTTTCTTATTAAATAGGAATCAGGTACATGTTTTTAAAAATGAAATTGTAAGAAAAGATTCAATTTACATACATATTTAAAAAGAGAAAATATTGAAAGTTAATAATTATTGTTATAGTATTTTATATTTTTAAAAAATATATGAGGTAAATTCATATATTTTTATTGTTTAAAAAAAAATGAAATGATATAAAAATGTCTCAATATAGACAAGAAAATGAAATGAAAAAGAAAAATATACAACTAAATGAAATAAAAAATGGATACGTCACGAATAATCGTGACACATTTGAACGCCCTCTTCTGAAAAGTTTCTTTCTTGGAGTAATTTACCGTTTACCTACTACACACCCGAGAGTAAGGTAAAAACATGAATTCAGTAAACAAACGCATAGTGGAAATATTAAAGCATTTTAGACCAAAGCTAAAAAAATATATTACAACATTTTAAACATTCCTTTGGTGAAACAGCTCATTAAGGTTAATTAAACTCGTGTATCTATCATCATTACCCCTAGACGATTAGTCTAGGGGCTAATGAGAGAGATTGAAGTAGGATATACGTGAATTTTAAGTTCATGAGCTTGCGTAACCTATTGGGTCTGGAGCCAGGGCCCAAAAATCGACTTGGTCACAGCCGAAGGTTTGATTGTAAATTACGAAAGTGTTATTCTGAGTAAAAAGAACCTTGTATGCCATTACAGAGTCGCTGCCATCAAAAATTGCGGCTGATTTAAAGACTATTAAGCCAGTAATTTGAGGATCGAAACGGAAAATATATTGCGAAAAATGTGAGAAATTTTTGTAAATGTAAAACACATGTAAAAAACAAAATTACTAATGCGGGCCACCAAGAGGCAAAAAAGTCAGATTTTTTCGATATTTTTTGATTCTAAACGAAGTATCGAGGCATAAATGTTATCCTTAAGAAATTACAGAACGTTAAACTTAATAATTTCGTTATGTGGTAAGGTATAAAACCATGGTCAACCAACGCTGATTTTTACCAAATTTGTCAAAAACTGAGACAAATTACTATGGATTCGTTATTTCTTTATGAAATTCGGTATCTTTCGACACATCGGTTTATCAAAATCCTTCGCTCTTGAGAGGTAGAAAAGAGCCTAATACTGCATCTAACAGACAGACTTTAAATAAGAAAGATTCAGTAGAATAGACACCCATACTGAAATATTGAAAATCACGTATACCTTCATTTCCAATTTCTAACCATCGGGAGATTACCGATTTTGTTTGGTGTAACTAACCTACATTAAAATAGTTGGTACTCAGTGGACGCAAAAATTTGATGCTCTACAACTTTGATTCTATGGATTTTCCTCTTAAGAGGCTTATTTCCAACATATAGAGCCATTTATCATAATTTGACTAGGTTTTTGACCTATCAGCGTTTGACAATCAGCCATGGTTGACCGTGGTTTTCTAACATACCACTTAACCAAATTATTAGGTTTAGGTACTCATTCGAACCACAATTTAACGTTCCTTAATTTATTACAGAGAGCATTTTTACATTTGGTGCATCGTTTAGGAGTTACAGGTGAAAACACAAAAATATATTTAAAAAACTGACATTTTTGGCTCTAAAAAGTTTTCCCATGGTGGCCCGCGTTAGCAATTTTATTTTATACATGTCTAAACCCACATATACAAGTTAAAAAAAAATAAGAAACTTTTCTCACATTTTTCGGAACGGATTTCCCGTTTCGATCCTCATGTTGCTGGCCTAATATTCTTTAAATTAGCCATTTTTGAAAGCAGCGGTCGGCTCTGGAATGGCAGACAAGGTTCATTTTACTTATAATAACATACAATTTTATTGTAATTTACATTCAAACCTTCGCCAGGTTTGATCAGGTCGATTTTTTGGTCTTCGTTCCAGGGCTACTAGATTGTCGAGCGGATATTCGTTTAACAATGCATATATCTTAAGGTTATTAAAATTATTTTCATCAAAATTAGGATGTTTCATTCGTTAAAATTTATCAAAAAAGTTGTAAGAAATACTTTCTTGGAGTTTTATAAAATTGGAGAAAGATTGAAGAGCAGCTAATGAAAAATATTCGAGTAAAGAACTTTTGAATAAGATGTTAATATAAGTTACATTTAAAATAATTATAAAATTATTTCTAAAATGATATAGATAGAAGGTAATATCTTTGAACACGTAGAATTAGAATTAAATTGAAGATTAGATAATTAAGGTCTTTTTTTTTTTTTTTTTTTTTTTTTGTTCTTCCCTACCTCGCCTTTTAGGCTATACGGGATTTTCCCGGGCCGGGGGGTGAGGGCGGGGAAATTTAAAATCCCCTCCGGCACCGGGACGCGAACTCATACTTTTTATATCATCTCAAATTTCTGTTATCCGGTTGCCAGGCAACTAGCGGTGCGGTTACACACGCTTTAGCCTATTCGGCCACCCCGCCCCCAGATAATTAAGGTCTATGATAAATGTATAAAACGATATTGAAAAGGAAATAATGGCTAGGTTAAAGGCGAGAAATGCATGTTGAATGCCTAACTATAGGCCCAATCAGGCTTTCATCATTGCTAATGGCTGATATTTTAGTATTTTAATTATTTGAAATTGTTTTATCGAGCAGTACAATTTGCCACAATTAAGGACAATAGTAATAATGAGAAAAAATGTTCATTCACACTTTATCTAGGATTGTAATTAACTATATTTATAGAAACATTATATAAATAAAAATCGATTTTAGTTGATGGAGAAAGACTGGACAAAACGATTAGGGTATGGTCAAAACGGAGCAAATGACGTCATGGGTCACGATTTTTTCCAAGGGCTCAACTGGAGCCTGCTTGAACGCCGCCAATTGGAACCCCCCTTCAAACCAACAGTCGTAAGTATATTGCATTTAATGTTTAAATTAATTTAAGCATATCATATTTAAAATTAATTTTAATGTTTTCATATAATATTTATTTTCATTTCATACTGAAGAGGTCTTGAAAATTATATCAAAACGTCGACCCATTTAACAGTAAAACATTTTATTATTTTTAATGAAGTACTTAATAGTCGACCGTTGTATTATTAAGGAAGAAGATGATCCGGGATGGCGGTCATGAATAGAATAAATAGTGACAAAACTATTTTATTAAAAGCTAACGTTTCGACCCGACTTGGCAGGTCTTCTTCAGGGCTAGAACGGACAAGATACAAAAAGATAAAGATAATAGTGGAAGTTACATCATATTTAGATAAAAAATTATAAACAATGTGAATAAACTTATTAAAATTATAAACAATAAGTAAATTAAAATATTAAGAGCAATAAGTTGTATAAACAGAGTAAGCTGAATAAGAAGATCCTAAACTGAAGTAAATAAATGGTAACAATTGTAATATAATATAATATATTCAATTGTGAATATACTCCTACAGATCTATAGGAGAGATGGGGAGAAAAGGAAAAAGGATATAATATGAAATAATGGACATAAAAGGATGTGGAGAAAGAAAAGAAAAACAAAAAATAAATAAATTAGAAGAATAAAAATAGAGACTTACAGGTGTGTTCAGCAAGGAGTTTCACTTAGACCTGGAAAACCTGGGTAAGTATTGGGGAAATTTGCTGACATGGTTGGGGAATGGTGAGGGGGTAAGTAGTAAAGTAGTAATATTTTAATGTACTTACTGTTTATAATTTTATGGGTGATAAATATTCAGGATGCAGTCTTTTTTCAATTTTTTTTTATTTTTGCCAACGTTTCAACCCAAACATGTGGGTCATCTTCAGGGCGTGGTTTGAGCACTGAGGTTGTTCATGTACTGTGTTTATAATTTTAATAAGTTTATTCACATAGTTTATATTTTTTTATCTAAATATGATTTAACTTCCACAATTCTCTATATCTTTTTGTATCTTGCCCGATCTAGCCCTGAAGAAGACCTGCAAAGTTGGGTCAAAACGTTGGCTTTAATAAGATAGTTTTGCCACTATTTAGTATATTCATTAACGCCACCCAGGACAACCTCCTTGTTTTATTATTCAGTTTCTCCTCTGCCCTACAGACTCTTATCACTTAAATTTGAGTCGTATGTTACCAAAGTAAACCCTAATTATCATTGAAATTTTTCAGGTAACGAGAAAATCTATGTTTTCTATTCCAATTATAATTTCCAAAACCAACATTTAATAAATAAATAAAGAACTTTTTTTGTAGTTCATATTTCTGAAAATCATTGATTACTTCAGAAGTAATTAAAAAACATTGAAACTTCATTAGGACCGCTTTTGGAAGGAAATAAACTTCAAAACCCATTTTGGACCTACAAAATGGTTGATTGAGGCTTGGTTTAGAAAGAAAGAATGGTGTATAATTCGGGAGGAGAAGAGGAGGAAAATTAATTATTAAAATTGTTCTATAAAAATATAACTTTATGTTTATAATAATGATCCAGTGAAATAAATTTATCTTTAATTTCCATTCGAAATAAACAGTTAAAATATCTTTAAATGAATTCTGTTTTTAAAAACATTCAAGAAATGGAAGTATCATTATATTTCCTGGAAATAAAAACAGTTTTGGAAATAAACTTATTTTTCCACCATAGTAAATTATTTAGATTAGTATATAAAAAAAAAATACCATTGGATTCGTTGGTTGTCCTTACATAGGAAATAATACTTATCTGGATTTCCATAAAAACGGATTAGAGTTCACTGTGGAAATAAATGACTCCTTTATTCTAATTGTGTTAATTTCAAATATTGTTATATTGGTATGGAAGGATTAGAACTTGTTTAGAGCAATGTGTTTTTAGTTTGTTAAACAAATTTTATACATTTTTATAGTTAACATGAGCCAGAAAAAAAACCACATAATATATAACTTGGCTTACAAGAATTGTACTCTATTATCATATCTTAATACCGTTTGTTTGGAATTAATGAATAAAACCGTTTTTTTTTTTGTTTTTTTTTGTTAATATATAAATGAAAAGTTCCTGAGCAAAATGCATTTCCATTTCTATTTTCCTTCACAAAATTCATATGGATCCAGACAAAAACATAAATTAAATTCATTTCACCTAGAAAAACAAACTTCAAAGCTCATATAATAAGTGGAGATAATCAATATAATTCATGCCATTGCAAACTTTTCTTGCCAAAAATAATTTACTATTTCAATGCAGAGTGAATTGGAAATTGCATTATAATAAATAGCTCACCATAAATTCAACCAAAGAAACAAAATCCTATTAATAATAAAAAAAGTTTTCTTTAAAAAATTATATTCAATATAAACAAAAGCAAGGAAATGAAAAAAATAATGAATATTTTTTGATTTTCTATACAAAAATTTTACTCATTTTTTTCTATTGTTTTAGAAACATCCATTGGACACTAAGTATTTTGATAAAGTGTTTACTCAAGAAAAGCCACGTTTGACTCCAGTAGAAAGAAGGATATTGGAGTCGATGGACCAGTCCCAATTTGATGGATTCAGCTATACAAATCCAAATGCAACACAGTAGTTCTTTATTAAGCAAATTTAAGTACTTTTAAGAAATTTTGTAAATATTTGACTTAAAACAGAATTAAGCCTACAGCCTAATAATAATTGATATAATGAAGAAAAATAAATAAGAGCAGTAATGAAACGTGAACTAGAAAGCACTTTACAAAGAAGCAGAAATATTAAGGAAAATTTAGGGTCTTTAACCATACATAATAATTATTGAAGGGAGTTAGTCGACTGTTCGACATATCATGGGTGATAAATATTCAGAACGCAGTCTTTTTTTAAAAAAAACATTTTTTAAAAAGGCTACGTCCTGAATATTTATCACCCATCATATAATAATATATGATTTTATTATAAAATATAACTTACATCAAACCTGATGGTTACTTTTTTACTAGTCAATTCATAATGATATTATAGCAATTTTAATAATGGAAGGTTTTTCTGATTAATAATACTTCAGTTTTATGTGCAAAAACTAGTCAGGTAACTATAGGGGAAAATCAACTATCAACATTGGAATATATTTCATTAAGGTACTTAGGAAATTCTTGAAATCTAATTATTTTAAAAAATCTCATTTTTTATGTCATGTAGTAAAGATAACAATAATGTTTGTTAAGGTTGAATATAATTTTTTTTACCTAGTTACTTCAGATACTGTTGTCCAGGGGTGCCCATTCCCCCAAGATCGATAGCGCATAAATCTTCTCCTACCCTTCCCAAGATATTCTATTCCTCTCTTCTTTTTAAAAACAGTGCAAACGAAAGTAGAATTCGAGTATTCGTAGATTATATACAATTACACATCCTGTGGTCTGTTCCATGATTCCACCAGTTTTTTTATTTGAAACTTATCATCTTTAAAATTCATAACCCTGTCGAAATGTGCTCCCCTCAAAAATTGAAAACTCTGTCAAAAAGTGCCCCCTTCATTAATTTTGATGGCACAACTTGTGCTGTAAAACCCCGTTTTGGGCACCCCTCCTATTGTCAATGGCCTAATATCTATTTTGTTATAGGACAAAGTAATATTAGAAACATAGCCGATTGGACTTCAGAATTTATTTATTATTTTATACAGGTTTATTATTTTGAGTCAATGAAGTCTGTCAATGTCTTATGAAAAAAATTATCTCTAAAAGTATTATAGTTTCTTTAATTACATTTAAAAGTACTTCAAGAATCACTTACACTCCATTTGGTGTAGGTAGTTAGTTTTTTCGTTTTCTATTAAAGTAATTATCGTTATATATATATATATAAAAAAAATCTTTCAGGCTGAAGCTCCCAAAATTAAATCATGTATCCGTTAGTGGTACACGTCATCACCTCCTTTAAAATCTTTTAAGATAAAATTCTCTCTTAATCTAAAACATTATTTGGTCAAGGAAGAACTAAAAAAAAATTAAGATAATTTACTGGTCAATAAAAAAAATGAAGATGACAAACACTACTGATAGAATGGTACATGGAATATTGTCAGCTTTTTATAAATATATATACATATATATATTTAAATCCATTTTTGTAATTTGTTTTCAGTCTTGTCAAAGTAAATTCATGATTATTACTTTCCATGAAGTTTTTGTTAAATTTCATTATATGAATTCGTTTTGTTTTTATCCAAAATTAATTATTGTTTTATCCCAAATTTTAGTTAACTTTCAATTAATGGCTACACAACGTTGAATTGTGTGAACTGTATCTAGTACATATAATTGAGATGAGAGCACTCTGCTGAGCCAACTAGTAAATGTAAGTGGGAGGATTGTGTTAAGACTGATCTTGCAAAGTTGAGTTATAACCACAATCAGTGAAAGGAAATATGTAGACAGTGATTAGTATTATCAGCTTTGGTATGGTATCAAATCTTTGGGTTCGCTAAGCATTGTATTATTATTATCAAGCTTCGGATATGCAATATTGTAATAATATGACACATTTATTGCATATAATTATAATAAATAAATTATAAATAAGCCTTAGATAACCAGTTATTAAACAGTGATCACTAACAGCATATTGAATATTTTGCACCATAATCTTTAGGGTTTGTAGAACCATTAAATCAAGACAATTATGATTAAGGTTCATTTATATTAAACCGAATTTAAATTTATCAATCTCAACAATTACTTGTTAAACCTAGACATGCAATAATTTAAACATAGTTTTAATTTTATAGATTTCAAGTAAATTTGAGGAGTATTTAAACAAGTATGCAAACTTTAAAGCAACCAAGATATATAATACACATCACTCTCTGAGTATTATTATATTATCTGCTACATGCATCAATCGAAGAGATAGTGTTTTATAGAATAAAAAATAGAAATCTTATTATGACAGATATTATGATGAATTGATAGAACTACTTACCTAGAGTTCCCAATTATAATTATCTTACAAATGTACATATAATTGAGAAAGAAATATTATTTTTAAATCTTCAAAGTATTATAGTTCAAATGTAATTGCCAGCCCGTCAGCAAATTCGTGGAGCGCTAATATTAAATTATCTAATATTATAATTCTAACATATATTAGAAGATTATACCATCTTTCTACATATGGATACATCTGTGAATATTATGTAGTATCGAAAAAATAAAAGTGTGTGTTTTGATCAATCAATGTCACATGAGTCAATGTCGGCCGAGCTATAGTAGCACAATTTTCAACTTTCAGCCATGTATTATAGAGTCTTTTGAAACCAATTTAATTTAGTGCTTGAGCAAGAGGTTTGCATTAGGGTTTATTAAAAATAATTACAGTTCATCACTTTAGTTTAATTTATCACTGATTTCAGGCGAAAAATTTCCAACAAGAAAAGTTTTCAAGCTGTATTAATTGAATTTTGTAATTTTATATGTATTAATGACATGAATTGTTCAGTTTCTGAAGACAGTAGAAGTTAAATAAGTGAAATAGATTATAATCAGGCTGTAGCTAGACTAACTATACGTTATTTATATATAAAGTTTATAATGAGATCTCAAAAAAAAAAAAAAGATTATAAATTACATTTTTAATCTATGATTTAATGTGTTAGAAATGTAATATGTACATTAAAGATATCTAATATTTTTATATCCATAATTGCAGTACTAAGAAATGCAAACAAGTAATGTGTCATACTTTATATGTTGTTTGATTATTTGTAAATAAAGTAGTCAATTTATAGACAGTATTTTTATCACCTGAGACTAATTAATTCAATAATAATAAAAATAAAATAAATATTTTAATTTTAAAAATTGTATTGTAATTCAAAAAAAAAAAAAAATAAGTGGTTCGATCCCTAGAAATATTCTTTTTTAAATTTTATTTTTTCTTGAAAATGTGATTAAAACAAGAGAAAAAATTAATGTTTAATATCAAGTAATTAAGTTAATTTTTTTTTAATGATTAGTTGACTATTGGCAGTCTAGATTTTAACAATGTTTGAAGAGATTATAAGGAGAGTGGTTTGCTCTTAAATTTCATTTAGAGCAACCTACATCGTCTAAAGGTGTAGGAAATAATTATTTTCTAATTTAGAAAAAAAAAAAGTTCTACACCTCTGCCACCAGAATAGTCTAGAAAGAAGGATTATGAGGAGTATCTTTGGTCTACAGAATAGTTAATAGAAAACAACAAAATCTTGAGATATAGAAATACTTATTATTTCTCTGTTGTAAATTAAGTCAATTCAAACTGACATTACAGAACCATTAACGTTATTAGTTACAATATTACACTTCACACAGTTACTGATGCAAAATTTGGTTGTTTTCATTTAACAAAAAGTAAATAAATAAATAAAATGAAATATTATATTGAATATTTGGCCCTAAGATAAACACACCAAAACTGAAAAGGCTATGTAATACAGCTTTACAGGAATTGGACTTGGTATATATAATAAGTCATGAAATTGGTATATAAAATAAGTCATGATTTAAATTAGTATAATAAGATATTCAGCAAGACAATTAATGTGTAGAATATTCCATTTAAGAAAGAAGGATTATATTAGAATTTGTGATTTTAGTTGATATTGTGTTTTTTTTTTATTTCCGACATGAGAATGCATCATGTCCTCAAGAAGGCCTATTGTGCATCTTCCTAGACTCAATTAAAACAGGCCATTCGCCTTGTGAACCTGTTAATACTAACAGGATCCATTAGTTCGCAGCAGTTAGGTTCATTGATACTGTCACATCCCAAGTGAAAGTATTGCAGTCTAGCCAAATTATCACGTCTACAAATAATGTGATAGGCCGTTTCATCCTCCAGGGCACACAGCCTGCAGGTGGAGGTCTCACTTACACCCAAATTAAAGAGTTGCTTATTTAGTTGACAGTGATCAGTGTACAGTGCTGTCACACACCTAATGGTGCTTCTGTCCATTCGAACAAGTGATTTACTTCTCTTGTAACAGTACTATCATATTATTTTTTTAGTTTAGAGGAGGAAACCATGTAAGCAACATTCCCAGGGTTTCCTACACATAGCAGTGAGGATTTCATTCACAGCTTGAACAGTTAATATTATTTTGTAGTGGCCACATGAAATAAATTCTGACACTTCCACTCTAGTCAGGACAAGGTAGCTAACTCTGGGTAGACATCAAGTGTGGGTAAAAAGAATCAATAAAACCCCTAGTTTTCAGTCCAAAAGTAGCACCATCACAAGCATATTTCAAACTGAACTCATAGAGAAATTCACTTAACCAACTACATCAAGTTTAATTTAATAGAAAATGACTATTAGATCAAAAATCAAAACTTATTTCTAATTTCTAACTAAATAAAAACTGAATGTAAATACAACTTCTTAAGTAATTACTTAAAAATATCAAGCAATTCTTAACATGACTGTTTAAAAACTTGTTGAAATATAATGAAGGATAATAAAATAAAAACCATATGAAATGGACAAAATGATAATAAATTTATTCTACACCATTAACAAATACATATCATGAAATACATATTTACAATAAAAAAACTAAAAACAAAAATTACTTCATAAAATATTGTTCAAACAAATAAATATAAATAAAAGCTATTACAATCAGGATATAATATATCACAAGGCTCCTTTGTGACTAGTAATTGTCACTTAATCGCCATCAGTCACACAGGTTTAAGGTTTAAACTTAAAAAAATATTAAGATTCTAAATGTTGTTTTCGTAGGTAAATTAGTATAAGTGCAAATTTACTATAAATATTTTTAACTATCCTTTTGAAAATTTTTATGTGATTTTAGAATAGCCAACATAGATGTTGTTAAGTATCGAATCTAATAGAAAATAAACTTCACAAACTTGTGCAGTACAAAATAATTCATAAATCAATTATAATAGTTTACTATTGAGGTGAAAATATAAGTTTTGAATAATAAAAATTCTCATCATAGTTATGACATACTTCTCTTATTTTCAAAGCAACGAAATATGAAACTCAAAATAATTTTTAAAAAATCAAATATGATAAAAAAAAAATTTATGAAAGAAAATTAATAGCTACTTTATTGTTTAAAAAAAATCAAATGTAGAATCAGTTATGATCATTGTGAATGGAGAAAAATGAGTCAATTGAATAATTTAAATAAAGCAATATAGGATTACTGGACGGTAAATTTAGTTAATGCTATGTTTCGGCGATTAAAATGGCATGAAACTGTGGGTTTAGTAGTAAAGGAATCATTGCATAGTAATGAATGAGTACTGAAATACAGATAAAGGTCTAAACTCTGAAGGTTTTAATGACATATGGCAAAAAAGATTTACTTGTATACAAAATGGCTCTTTGTTAGTTTTTGGATAGAAAATTCTTATTTTTTATATTATTAAAATAATGATCAATGTTTGAGAATTTCATAAATACAGAAAAGAATTGTTTGCAAAATATTAATAGTTTAGAAAAGTGGCACCGTTTTGAATATATGAAACTCAGAAATAAAGAATGATAAGACACATTAAGTTAATTTAATTAGAAATCATTTTTACATGTAATTTTTCACAGAAAGGCAAAGCTTCCATTATACTTACAATTGTTTTCTTCTAATTATATCTGTAGTCAAACGGAAATAGAGGATATGGAATTCCAATGACTTTTAAGTAAAATTCATCATTGAAAATAAATGGGCTTTTTTTTTACATACCTCATCTATAAATTACATATGCAATAAATCCCAGATTTATTAGAAGTAAGACATTTAAATAATTAAACACAATGAACCATGACTAATATTCAGATCATTTCTTTTATCTCAGAATATTGTTAGCATGTCAAAATTTACTTATGATAACAAAAGTGAAATGGAAAACTAATCAAGAATGGATAGATTTACAGAAAATACAAATCTTTGTTAATCACAAAACAATTTTAACAAGTAATGATAATTCCTTTTTAAATTACTTTAAAAAAACTAAAATTGAAAAATTGTGTTGCTTAACTATAAATGAGAATTTAAAAAATGCCTTCAAAGTTTATTTGGTAAAACTTAAGATAGTGCGAGCTATTATTGGGAAACATGTGAAGAGTGGTAGAATGAACTGGAAAGTGGACTCAGTATGAAGCTAACAGTAACCTTTGAAACCAAAGGACCTTAACACTTAACACTCTTAGTGTGGATGATACTTCTGAAAGTCAGTGACAATTGCCTTCGATACCATTTTAATTCTAAAGGAATATATTTTGTTTTTTAATCGGCCTTATAGAAGTTGTTTTGAGAATGCTTAAATCAATATAATTTTTTTGTTCAGAAAAATATGCGTAAGTGAAGTATTTTCATAAACAGAAATCTGCATCTTAAGTATTTACCACCTCATCGAATCTCTTCTATAGTGTTCTGTCATTGACATGTTATACCAAAACAATTAGATGATAATTTTAATTTTTTTTTTCTAAAAACAAACAAATAAAAAAAAAATTGTTTTCAGAAAAATTATTTTTATTTATAAAACAACCGAAAGGTCCACAGTTTAAATCAAACTAATGGTTGAGATTCTAATTTTATCTCATCACTATTAATGAAGAACAGCATTAAGATTCAGAATTAATCATCAGGGTAATTATTGCTTGGAATAAGTGAAAATATAGTATCAAAGATTTGACATAAAAATTTATTTTCATCAGGAAACAGACTAGCTCTGGCCTATAGTTATTATTAAGAAATAACATAATAAAACTATTTTTAGTAATCACATTCATTAATATTTGAGCACAATAATAACAATAGTTTCATTTATAAAAGGGACAACTATATTTTAAACTAAAGATAGTTTTTATTTAACATCATGTAGTATTTATGTTGATAAGAGTTGTCTGAAAATCAATAAACATTAATGATCGAATGAGTATTTTTTTTTTTTTTTTTGTAATTCATCAAATATAAAGTAATGATTTAAAAAAAAATCATTTAAAATAGATCTGAAGATATAGAAAGCATAAATTTAAAAATTAATAAACTCACCAAAAATGGAATAATAGTTTTGAAACCGAAGAAAGATAGATCTGTTAATCATCTTTATATTTTAATAAAGTAATTTTATTATGATCCAGAGTTCATTCACATACATGCTTTGAATATTCTGATTGACTAGTTTCACAATTGGAATCACAGACAATATTGCAGCCATACAATTGGTAAACAAGTAGTACAAAAATGATTAACCATCAATAACAAGTTCAAATCACCTATTTTTCTTCGGAATAGTATTTTAACTTAGTAAAATTATTTTGGAGTTTCATTAATTTCATAAGTAATTCTTGAAAATAAAATATGACCGGTCAAAATAGTTTTCTCATTTTTCCTGTCCATTAGATACTGTGTAAATAAATCAAGATAGATTTATTTGCATATCAGAATGCATTTATTTAAACCTTTGACTGAATGGACAATAAATATAAAAGTTCAACTAACAAGGACCATTGTATCTATTTAACTATATTTTTTATTAAAAATTAGTATCATATTAAAAAATGAAATTATGTCAACGAAGTCAGAATCTGCAAGTAGTAATGCTTCAATATCGTGCATATATGGGAAAATAGAATTTTTAATATAATGCATTTCGCCCCATGATTATTTTACTAAAAACTATTATTTATTTAAAATGTTTGGCTTCATAGTGAAAATAATTTAATATTTCAATGAATATAAAAAATAGTTTTTAGTTTTAGGCCATTATTTTTAATAAACTGTATATTATGATTCAGAATAACATGTCTGCAAATGAATTCTAGATAACCAAATAATCCCCATCAACAATGGATAGCTTAAAAATAATAAACGAAATGCTAATCTCTGGGGAAGGTTTAACATATTAACATAATTAATCCAGTATTTTAAGTGAATATAAAATCAAGTAAATGAAAGAACAACTTTAATATAAACTTTAGGAGTGACAACAAAAAAAAAAAAAAAAAGAAAGAAAGAAAAATATATAATCCTTTTCTGATTCATATGACAATTATTCACAACCTTATAAAACAAAAAACAAATTTTCCTTTGTTCTAAAAAAAAAAGTAATAATAATCAAAATAATAAATAAATATTACTTAATATCAATCTAACTTCAGTTCATTAACAGCACATATTAGTTTTAAAACCTAATAAAATATACATTGTATATAATACATATATTAATTAATAAAGCATTGATCATGTTTAATATTTCATTGTACGTTCAATACGTATCGAGAACAATTTTTTTTTTTTAATTATTGCTGATAGGTTAACTACAAAGTCCGATTAAACCTGTTAATTCTGCCAACACATGAAATCAAAAGACTATTTTTCAATAAATAAATGTTAAATCAATTCAATAATGCTAACAGATAATTTAGGAGAAAAAGGCCTACTTTGTTCTTAGTTTATTTTCATTATTTGAAATCTAAATTATAAGCAACATTTGAAAAATAAGTATACATGTACTCCAAAAAACAAGAATTTAGTAATATGACAAGGGAGGCAACAGAAACAAACAATCTGATGTTAAAGTGGACTTCAATTGGTCTAACTATAAACTCTACTCATACTTAATGGGATGAGTAATCAAGATAAATAAAGAGATGCCCAAATTTATGAAAAATACTACTTTGAACGGTATTTGAAACGAATACTATGAAAAACGAAGAATCCATGAGGAATATATTATGCAAAACCTTATAACGTCAATTTCATATCATATCAAATATACACCATAATAACTTTATACAGAGATAATAACTTTTCTTTACCTTGTTACTGATTGATGTATTTCTTATTACTTATTTGTTTTAAATACCCTTCATTATTGATCATAAAATAAATTGAATATATTAAGCTGTATCGAAACCAGAACATGGTAAAAGGTGACCACTTTCAACATCTTAAAAACAATTACAATAATTAATAAATTAATTTCATAAGGGCAGAATGAACAAGCTAATGCTACAGCCAAAATTAAAGAGGCAATTGTTTTTTACCAAAAGTGTTAAAAACAATAAATACAAAGAATTTAAAGTACAATAAAATAAAAACATACAGAAATTAAATGACAGTAACAGTTTCAAAGAAATAAAAACCTATACTTATTGTGAAATCACAGACATATTTTAAAATTATCTTACTTAAGTCTTAATTTTATTTAGAACTGCAACAAACAGCATACTGTTGAAATCATTTTCATTATATCCTAATAGAGATAAAATGAAAAACCATTACGTCAATGGTGGATTTGTTTTAAGGATTGTTGCAAAATAAAAAAAAAATTGTAACTAGACCTAAATTTCTACTAAGTCTTCTTTTATAATTAGCCTTTGATAAAAATAAAAACAATACAGTGTTCAATGAAAGACAAATAAAAATTAGAAGTGTTTAAACTGAAAATAAAAACCACTTCTAAGCTTTGAATATTGCTAATCAAAGTTTAAGATTAATTTAGTAAAAACAATCTAAAGTAATATTAGAAAAAGTTTAATATAAATAGAAATCTTTTAACTGTCAAACCGAATGGATTTAGTGAAGAAAAGAACAATTACACCCAATATAGAAAACAAAAAATTTAAGAATATATTTTGTAAATTAATATAAAAATAAAACAAAAAAGATCTGTACGAGAATTTTTTTTGTAAACCCCCACCACTTAGTCTGAATATTTTGTTACCAAATTAAAACATATTTAACTCTCTGATCAATTCCGCTCAACTTATTCATCCGGAATTTAATAAGCCATAGTTGGCAGTATTAAAAAAAAAATTCTTATAGACAAACTATATTAAACGAACAACTCTTAAAAAATAAATCTTAGAATAGAAGACTTAACGCTTTTACTAAATCCTAATAATAATTTCATAAATTTTATGCATCATTTTAATAAATATTTTTTTTTTAAAATCACAAAGAAATTGGCGATAATTATTCAAAAGTAAGTTAAAAATAATACAATAAAAAAAAAGAGGGGGGTATTTCTAAATATATGTCAAGAGACCTTCAGTCATAAAGTCACAACTAGACAAAACTTAGCTAATAGCATACTAAATAAAACTAACAAATCTAAATCAAGTAATACATCTGTATAAAAAATTGTAACATAGGAAAACTAGTTCTTGTTTGTTTTATCAATTTTTTTCTAACAGACCTGAGTTACAAAAAGCCTACCAATAGGGCTATTTACACATGCTCTAATCAGTTAAATGAGTGCACATAATGGAAGGGAAAAAGGGGCAAGGTGATGTAGGAACTGTAGCGTTCATTTGATTAATTTTTTTTTTGTTTATAAACATATTTTAAAAACTTGGATGCGTAGCTGAAGAGAACACAGGTTACGGGAGACGCCTGAATCCAATTAGATTATCATGATCTAGTATTAGATTCAGGGGAAGAACTAGAAAAGAAAAAAGAAATGCACATAAATAATAGTTATTACATGAAATATAAAATAATGAAATAATTATATTATAGTTGGAAGCAAACAACATTATCTCAAAACAGTGAAAAAACTAACACGTCAACATTTGTTGAAGTAAGACATCATCAAAACACAGCTATAATTTATTAACACTAAATTAAATAAATAAATGTCTTATACATTCTAAACAAATAGAGAGAGCAAATATCATGTCAACAAATTGAATAAAAAGTCTAATCTGAAACAATTTCTGTGATAAACCAAAATTTAAAAAATCTAAGTTATGGTTAAACTTAGATGATATGTATATTCAAAAATGCATATAAAGGACATCTTGGACTTGACTATTTTATCTTATTAGACTAACAATAATTTCAATAACTCTGAAAATATAAATTACCTTTGATTTAAATCAATTCTGAAGTAATCATTACAAGCCACTTCATTATAATTATCATTATAAGTCACTATTAGAACACTGTACCTAATATCCAACAGCTTGTAGTTGAAATGTTTAATTGATTTAATTTCACAACTTTATATCATTTAAAATAAATAAAAATAATTCAACTTTCAAGAAGGAGTAGAGTATAATATCACAGGAGGTAAGACACTGGATCTTCAATTCTCAGACTCCGGTGGAATATCATAGACTAATAAAACATTGTTTTCCATTCTATCAGACAAGAACTAACATCCTACGTAGGGCATCTATACAGTGGATACTTGACCCTTTAAAAGGATAAGAGGAAAACATTGCAGAGTATGGATGTTGACCACAATACTTTGATGTACAATCGTTGATTGTGAAGCAGTACTAAAGTGTTAAGTTATTATTATTATTATTTTTTTTTTTTGTTTCCATACCTCATATCATTAAGATAACTACAATATCTATATCGATAATAATTTAGATATTCCTAATAATATAGGAGTGAGAAAATATAGTAGATATGACATTTGATTATTAACTCCCAAAACTGGGTTCTATGGCTTTAAGTATGGCTGAAGTTTCAGCTGTGGATTAATCGTGGAATGAAAGACCCTCCAATGGCATATCCAGCCATAATTAAGTGGATATTCTTAATTAAAGTGGAGGGAAAAACCTGGCGGTTGAGCTTGATGCTTCCAGATTCACCTTCTCACAATATTTTGAGTCAATAAACATATGTCCTTGCCAAATACTAAAACTAAGATCCTTCATCAGTTCTAAGAACCTTCAGTTTAAAAAGAGGTACATGCTAACAATTAAGAAAAAGTCTAAAAAGTAAAATGTCAGAAATAATAAAAATAAAATAAAACAAAATATCAAAGTAATATCAATATTTATTTTTATCACACACTACTAGAACACTCATTAAGTGATCGTAATTAGATATGGTTAACCTTGCATTTAACATTATGTATATTAAATATTGAGAATTGTAGATACATTTTATCATTTAAATCAATTTTTAATTTAATAGGCAGCTTGTCCAAAAGTCAATAAGTCACTTATCTACATGTTTTTTTTTCCTTCTTCCCTCCTCCAATGCACATATTTTGGTTTATGATCTACTGGGACTTATAATTAGAGACCGGATTTCCATGTTATTGCACGTTTTATTCGGTTGCATGTAAAAGCTCAAACCCGACAATCTATCTGTTTCATGATCTGCAGAATAACATATTGACATTTGATATAGCATTTTTTGGTGTGTTGGGCCTAAATTGCACAATTTTGATTTTTGTTGAATTTTTGAACATTTCTTTGTTCTAGATTTGTATGATTAATAAATGTCAATGTACATGTGTATGCATGTAATTATTTACCTCTTTATTTTACTATCTTGTCCATATTAAATTTATAATTCAAGATATAAAAATATGAGGAAGGTAAATGATTCTATGCCTAACAATGGTTCGAATTTAATGTTAAAAAAGGAAGAAGTGAACATAAGTGGAAAAATTCTTGCAATAGAACTTGTCAAAAATATTGGGTAACAATAAAAAACTGCCTTCCAAGAATAAACTGTTTTGTTAGAAAGACATTTATTTTTATTGTTTTGATTTGAATTCTCACTCATTCTTCAGTATACCTTCTGGCTTAGAAGCGAATGGTAATAGTTCCATTATTATTAAGAATTAAAAAGAAAAATTGAATAATACCCAAAGATCTGGTCTCATGTCAAAAATTAAAATATAGTTATCAAATTATCCTGAGTTGAAATTTAATGGGAAAGTAATCTTTCATACGCCCTATGAAAAATCAGTCAAGTGTGATAGGAAATCATAGGTAGACACACTCATTATTGAATAGGTAGAAAAAATATTTCTATTAGAGAATTGAATATTTTAAAAAAAAATATTTCTTCAGTGATCTAAACAAACAGCATCAACAATAATATTTGAATGCTTGAATATCTCAAATATTACAAGAGCATTTCTCAATTTTTCTAAAAATTCTTTGGAATTTCTTTTTCAATGTTGCATTTTAATTTTAATTTGTTTTTTCTCGTTACACATTACTTTAACTCAAGAGCTTAATATAAAGTTTGACCAGCTTTTGAAGTGTTAAGATAATAAATTCAACAAAATAGATGATTTTTGCACATTTTTAGGTGTTAATTATACAATTATAAATATTTTGGGTTTTTACTGCACGATTTTGCAGACCTTGAATTCTTTGTATCACTTTTTCAGATTTTTACTGCATGAAAATTCGGTCTCTACTTATAAAAGTAGTTACATTACCTTCCTTCCTATGTATTTATATTAAAAATTACCCAACTCAATTATTTTGATAAAAACCTAGGAGACATGTATCCTGAAATGTATATCTTTCCTATCAGCACATGCTAATTACCCATTTCCTCAATGATTTGACCTCACTTAAAAACTGGTTTCTTGATTCATTATATATCATATTATCTAACCTCTAGGCTCTTTTATTTTAGAGCTCTTCTATGAAAAGAACTTGAGCTCTGTACCATTTCCTATAAGATTGTGACAGAAAAATTGTTCATAAAATAAACTAGAACAACGTTTGACAAACTTTAAAAGCCAAAGAGACAATTTCATCATCAAAGGCAGGGCCTTCGAATGGGAAAATTGCTTCGGGGCGCCCATTGGGGGCTCCAGCAGATTTTTAGGGGAGCTTGCCTCTTATAAGAAATAAAAAAAAAGTTATAAAACATATTAAAATAATTGATTTTAGCCCACCAATAAAGCAACTGTATTAGAAAACTTGTTGAACGCAATAAAATTCAAATATTACATACTATAAAACAGCTTAAAAAATAAATGGAATTTTTTTAGAGAGGGGGCAGATGACATCATTGACCACTGATCAAAGAGTCATATTTTACAGAGCAAAAAATATTATTTTAATAGGTTTAATTTATTGAACCCAAACAACAAAAGCTCACATTAGATATCCATCAATATTAGAGAATCATACTTATTCCTATAAACAATACTATTGGTAATGCTACATACTTTATAATATCTGTTAAAGTAACAATTTACTTAGTAAGTGAATTATCTAGTTCTATGTTTTGTTTAAAAAATGTGTTTTATTTTTATTAGAAAGTTTCTTTCTACACTGTTTGAGATTTACACTTTGTTTGTTTTTTCAATAGATTTTTAACTATTGAATAGCAATATTTTAATTTTTAAAAACCTTAACAATATGTGATAAGTATCTCATCACAACCATGTGATCTAGGTAACTATCATTAGAACTAAGATGGATTCAAGAATTATCTTGAAACAGTAAATTTTAAGGCACTAAAACGAAGAGATGTTAAAATCTTTAAAACACAATTTGTCCTGTTCTGTAAGTTTAATTAGCAGAATCAGAGTTTTGAAACTATATACTTTTTTTTACAATTAATTATATTGATGGATTTAAATTAATTACATTTCTCTTAAATTCAAGAAATTATATTTTTTGAAATTCTGTTAATAAAAATTTATCATTCATGAAGCATTATACCCTAACAATTCTATCAACAACCCATGAAATCAGATATTACAATATAACAAAAGAATTTCAGTTCACAATGAATGTTAGATACCGTGTTTTACAACCAAGTGTCTCAATTGTTGATGGCAGTTTGCATGTTCATTGAAAGTAAAGTGCATTTTTCTCTTTCTAGATTCTTAATTTCAGTAGCAAAATGCATGAATTTTAATTTTCATAAATAAAACTAATTCTAGCAACTGCATGTGAAAAGCAGTTGTATGAATTCTGAACAGATAGAAATCTTTATTTGGTTAATATTGCTTAAAGAAGATCTATAATTAATGGCAGAGTTCCTTTTATGAGTTGAGTCTTGAAATACCTTTAGAAACAATTCTTTAATTTGTTATTAGGTTAGGCCAAATTGGCACAATTAACTGTTTTAAAAATATCTTCAGAATACAGCTTTCTTCAGAATAAGTGAGGGTTATGACATTACTTAGGCAATGTTTCGACAGTTACAAATTAAGTACTAAGATCATATTAGCTCTTAAAATTAACAGTAAATTAATCAACCCGTCCTCTTAGATTTAGTCAGTATGATTAATTATGATCAACGAGAATAATTCTAAAATATTTAGCAAGTTTCCCATATAAATGGTAAATAAAAATTAAAGGAGAAGGAAAAAGGAACAGTTAAAATAAAACAAAAAGAAAAAATTGCAAAATCTTTATTGTATGCCAATGATTTGGCCCACTTATAAAGATATTTAATTAAATAAATAAATAAATAAACAGTGAAAGAAGAAGAAATAAAAGTATATAAAAGGAGAAAGAAATTAGAATGTAAGATTAAAATAAAAGGTATCAAGGGCTTATAACTAAAAAATTTAGTACACAAATTCATTTAAGACATGATTAATTAAATCACAAACATGTTTAATGCTTAAATATAAATACCATAACGCAACTAAAACAGAAATTCAACGAATATAAAGTAATAATCCACAAACCTGGTATGCCTTCTTCTACTCTATGGATCACAGCTCTGACAGATGATGGAGGCTGAAAAGCTCTCCGAAGCTGGGATGCAGCCATTGCTGCGGGACCCCAGCTTCCCCACCGATAACCCTCAAGATGCACTTCACCACTGTGGGGAGACCAAACATACAAGCAACTAGCTTCGTAGAATTCCCTTACATCAAGGCGTTCTCTGAAAAAATTATATTTATGTAAATATTAAAATATAAATTACTGGGTGTATCCACTCACAAACTTCCTTAGCGCTCCTGGGAGCAAAATCCAATACAAAAATTGTTTGCTTCATCTTGATTAATACTGGTCCAATTATTTACATTTTAAAACTATAAATTCAACTTAAATATAATTATTTTTCAAATAAACATCTGGAAAGTTGCTGGAAGGTGTATGGTTTTCATATTATTCAAAAACAGTAAATAAAATTAAACATTGTCTGTTGAAATGAGTACAGAATAGTTTTTAAAAAAATGGGTACAAAGTACCCATAAAACATCATATCTTCGCTAACACTGGTCTGATTTATAGGATTTTTATTTTCACTTACCTATAATATATGAAATATATAGCAAGGGACAGTATTGTGATTGTAAAAATTTTCAAATCTGAGTTTTCAATGGAAATACATGTTTTGAGGTCTCCTGAGTCCAAATAACCAAAACAGTCTATGTGTGCCAGTATGTATGTACGTGACGAGTCTAGCTCAAATACGAAAAGTTGTATGAAGGTTAAATTTTTTAAATTCTGGCATTTGAGGTTTGTATATACCTCAGATATTACAGCAATTTTTTCGTTTAAATCGGGTAACCGGAAGTAGCACTTTATATCAATGATTATATACATTTTTACAATTTTCTCAAAAACGGCTCTAACGATTTTGATTAAACTCGCTGTATCATTGTATAATTAAGTGGTCTTTAATATCATTGAGGTGTCATCCCCATTGAAGTCACTTTACAGGGCTTAAATGTTCAACATGTCTTCCTCTAAAGTACATTTAATTTGGTTTATTTTAAATAATTAACCATCTCTATTATTAAGAGATATGAAAAAATTTGATAATCGGAAATAGAGAAAAAAGGGAAAATGTTTATTTAGTTTGAAAATGAATTTCTGGAAATACTATTCAGAAGGTATACGTATAATATATCCTTGGAAAGTGGAGAATTTTAGAAAAAACAATATCTAATATAGAAAGTCGTAGAAAGTAACAGAAATAGACGAAAAATTATCAATAATAATTTGTGTAAACTAATATTATTTAATGGAAATCACGTGTTTTCAAGAAAATTAAATGAAATTAACTAGCTAGGTTCGGGAATTTGTTAAGATGATTTTGTTGTTGTTAAATGAACATTTGAATTAATTATATTACTATGTGAAATGTGTTATTTTTAATTGCAGGCAACACTGCAGTTATAAAAGTTTTTTTTTTTAAAAAGATGTTAATTATCATTAGAATTTAATAAACTCTTCTTTGTAAAATTTGCTGAAATATAATTTTTTGTGTTGTGTTGTTTTAGAAATTGCACTGAAATCACTACTTTATTCAAGTTTCCATTGTTAGTCACTTTTTGTATTAGGAGAAAAAATACATGTAAACATTTTTTAAGTTTGAAAAAAAAAGTATTTAAATCCATCTGATCAAGACAATAACATTGTTTAAAAAAGTATTTCACTGTACTTGTGTGAAAGAAGAAGTGAAGTATAAAAATATTTCATGGATGTAAAGCATATGTTTATAACCTTAAATACATTCACTGTAGTTTAATAACTCTATATCTGATATTTTATTTAAATAATTAGGTATCAACAACTTCAGAAGGTGGCCGGCAGAAGCAGGAGCGACCGGATCAGGAATGAAAAAACAAGAGACGACCTAGGCACTGTTTCACAAAAAGATTCTTTAGAAAAAAAGCAGCTGAGATGGTTTGGGCATGTATGCCAAATGAATGAAGACCGTGACCCACGAAAATTCATGGAGGCAAGACCTGTAGGAAAGCGCCCAAGAGGAAGACCTAGATTGTCGTGTATGGAGTACATTTCCCAGATCGGGCAGAAAAGAGGTATGAGGATAAGGGATACGAGGGCTCTAGCTTGGGATGCATGGATCGAGGCACCTCCATGCTGAAAGGCACAAAGGAGGTAGAGAAAGCAGAAGAGAAGAAGGTATCAACATCCTTTCGTTCTGAAAAATCATACGTAACCTTTAAAAAATTAAATTAGTGAATAATTCGATGAATTTTCTGTTTTTGAAATCGAAACATTGTCCGATTAAAATTAGTGTAACAACTTTTGACCTGTCTATGGCAGGCAATGAAAATCTCATAATTTCTTTGTAGTAAGCTTTACAATGAAAAATAACTGTTTAATAATTAATAGGCATACAATCCATAATCATTTATAGGCTGAATGTAGAGATATACATTCAAATTTCTCTAGACATATATATAGCTCAGAGACTGGAGTTATGTGGTTTACAAAAATAGATGGAGTAGATGGAGTACCAAGGTTTTTATTGTCTACCGTTGATACAATTAATTGGGTTTTGGTTATTTTAATGGTGTTAATGATTTATTAGCTGTAAACTATAAGCTAGATCTCCGTTAAAAGTGTACTTCAAAAATTTTATAATTGCTCAACATTGCCAGAAAATAATTTCTATTCAAAGTAGAAAGGTAGGTAATTTTTTAATTAAGTGAATCTATAGCATTTCCTTTTTTTTTTTTTTTTTTTGTTATGCAATTTATAAAATTACTTTTTTTTCTCATACGACTTGAAAAGTTAAAGGGCTTAAGGGAAAGAATATATTATTTCATCAAGAGTAGAGGTTGGTTGTTTGGGATGTGGAGTCAAGAAATAGCAAGCCATAAATTAAAATCAGTATACCAAGAGAGTTCAGTTGAGTAATGTCGCGTTCAAGAATAGTTAGTAAGTGAAAAGTGCATTATATGTTGCCACATTAGTAAAGCAGTAGTGAAAAAGATTGGTTAAGTTAAAATTATACTGGTCTTAATCATTCTAAAACAAGAAAAAAATAATACATAAATACTTCGACCAGCAACTGATATTAGATGGTACCGAAATGACCTTTAATTGAAGTAACTATAATTGTATAACCTATACAACATACTTTGCTTAAAATATTTGTATAATATTAAAATAATAAAAACACCTACTTTTCATCATTACTGGAATTTCTATTACATTCCTCTGCATTCATTCGAATAAATAATACTCCAACGACATCACTAGTATAAGGGCACATCTAAAAACATAATATTAAAAATATATAGGATAAAAATTAAATTGAAATATTAGAGAATAAAATAATATTTATAATTTAATCATGAAAATAAGATAATTTCAATTTGTTTAGTAATTAACAATTAAAAATTTTAATATTGCATTGTCAGGGTTGTTACAGACCTACTAAACAAAAACTCTCTTGACTTTTCTCAATTTTTTTTTGACAAATTTCTGAGTTATTCTTGTTGTTAATACTGAGATTTTTTTCATTAATCATTCAGGCAATTAAATTATGAAATTCAAATAACATTTTGAAAACATCAATTTGCATTTTGTTAGTATTTAACATAATCAAATTCCACTAACTAGTAAAATCAATAAATCTATCACTAAAGAACGGGAAAGCGGAGGATTGTTAATCCCCATTAATTGTGCGGTATAACTGGACAATGCGAGGTCAGTTTCAAGATAAAGATTTTCAACAATTTCCCTGACTTCTCATTTTTCTAAACAGATATGAAATTTCTAGGTGTGCAACAACCCTGATAGATAATGCACATGCTTAAAATAAAATTTACCCAAATTATATCAGTATCGTAGTCGCTACAAAACCAAAACTTATATCCTTCCATCTTACAAATAGCTTCTGCAGCTTTAAAACAAAATTGTTCTATATCTAAACTACTTTGATCGACCACAGCACACTTGACACCCTGTTGGACCTAAAACATTAATAAAAATATTTATACATATATATATTTATAGAACTTCAGTACAGATAGCCAATAATCACAAACACAGATGGTAAGGACCCGTAATGGAGGTTCCATATTGTACACTAATCAATCAAACAACCATGAAAATACGAGAAAATAAAGGAAGGTATCACTGTTCATCTCAAGATGAATATTAAACACAATTGATTAAATTACCAATTTCTCAGCCTTCTGGTTTGAAATCATTTCCAACTGTGCATAGGCTGAACCATGCACAGAGAGGGGAAGAGCACAGTGAAAACCTGAACCCAATTCATCATCTGAAAAAAAAAAATTATAACTAAAGAAATATAATAAAATCAGACAAGGATAAATTGAACAAGATTTATTGTAACTTGCAAAATGCAGTGATTGGTGGCAACAACACTGATTTTATGATTGTTCTATTGTTTTTCACTGTTATAAAAAATATGGAATAAAAGTGTTTATGAAAGTTTCTTGTGTAATTAGTGAACATTACATAAAATAAAGGATATTTTTAAAAAAGTAGAAATTTGAGAATTTATTATTTGGAAATTGAATATTAACATTATCTTAACAATAAGACTTTATTCATTCCAAATTATAATTTAAATAACTTAAAACTTAACTAAAGATATAAATAAATAAAACATTTTTTTTTAGTTGTTTGTATAATGATTCCAGAACAATTATTTTGGAGAAAAAAATTCTCTTTACCCTATACTCTTTAACTACTAAAGTTGTAATGAGGGTAATATACACAAGTCCAGGCAGATATACATATATATAATAGGTTCATTAAGCACCTGGCAACTTGATTAATACTGATGACATAGTGATTATGTGCAGAATAGGAAGTGCTCTAGTTAGTGTATTCAAGAACAGTGAAGATGCAATAAAAAAAACATAGGCCTGAAGATTAATGTCTCTTATACAATTCCCACATATAATATTACACTATTATATTAATTAATGAATGTGGTACCATTGTATTCAGAATTTGACAGGATGTTAGCAAATCTTATTTACAAATATACAGCTTATTATAGTTTATAAACATAAATGTAATATAATGTAAGTAGTAATTTCGGTTTAAAACATGAATCATTTCCTTTTCCTAGATCAAATATCGAATAAAAGAGAATTGATTCATCCATCTTATGATACATTGCGTTAACTTATTTACTTGTTATTTTGTCATTAGTTCACGAATATGCTATCGGGATTATTTTGATGGACCATTTTTAAAAATAGATTTTTATTTATTCTTATGTTTTACTATATCACTTATATTTATAGACGAAATGTTACATTATCTTTTATTTACTTTTTTTTTTTAAATTTTCTGTTTATCAATACGTATAATGAATACTCATAAGAATTTAAAACTAATGGTTATCAAGGTAGCCAAAAGTAGTCATACAATCTAACATTTCATTTAACGTTAATATTGCACTTACGGTTATTGTCAATATTAAAAAAAAAAATAAAGTGGAGAATATTTTGACTCTAAAAAAAAGTATTTTACTAGATACTGTTGGTTTTTTTACACCAAATCAAAATTATATCCTTTCCTTTTAAATATTATCCATGCATTAAGTTAATAATATATGCGATCCTGATATTAATTTTGTTTAGAAGGATTTCAAAACAAGTATCAATTAGATTTTGAATATCTAATATATCTTGCCATTAGTTAATCTTTAATTGGCCAATAACTAATTTTGTTGAATTTTTTAACTCTTAAGAGTTGTTACTTTCTTACCTATACTAGGTAAGGAAGGTATTGCGATAGAGACAAATTTCTAATGTGCGGTTTTAGTCTGACAGATCTATATGTTTCAGAGCCCCCTGAGTCCGAAAAAGACATTTTCAGCTATTAGTCTGTCTGTGGCAAGATTATCTCGGGAACTAGAAGATCAATTTTGTTGCTTCTTTTCTTATTTTGTAGAGTTTTGACTACTGATGCCTGTGCCACAAATTGGATGCTCTCTGCGCAATAAGTGAAAAACATATTTTTATGTAGACTGTAGCACAAAAACGGCTCTAACGATTTTGATGAAATTTTCCTATAATTTTCTAATTAACGTCCTTTCAATTTTTGTATATGTACTAAGTTCCCGAGAAAATACAGTTTGATTTTGATTCAAATTAACAATTTACAGAATGTACATATAAACATTAACAATATCAGAATGTATTGAATTTTTTACACAGATCTTCCACAAGCCGTTTTACTTTGCCTAAGTTTATCAAAGAAACTGTACTAAAATCTTTTCTTTGATCTAATTCAATTTCTTTTCTCTTGTTCTTAATGGACATATTTAAAGATATAAAAACTTTTCTGAAATAGGTAACAATGTCGTGTGAGAGGACACATCAGATTTTGTAAAACAGACTTTAAATCAGAGAAACTGAGACTAATGACCATTTACCAGGTGAGGATATTATCTCATATGTTGCCATACCTTTTGCCCTCTATTCTATTCAACCTATTGCTTTATAATAATTTTTTTGCTTTCTGATACAAAAAGATGATTAGAAAGTTTTATTTGAGCTATAGGAGATAAAAAAGAAGCAGAAGCAGGAAACGTTCTCTTCAATTAACAATATAGGTGATATTCTATTTGCGAGATCCCAAACTTATTTCCTCTGAATTAATTGTGAATCATTTATTTACAACTACTATTTATTGTGGGAGATGGACCGTCCTTCTTAGACCCTGAAGGAACGAATGCTATGGCTGGCCCTCACTTTCTTAATGAACATGATAATCCAATACATTTCACAATATTGAGTGATCATCACCTCTGTATGCCACCTATTCTTTAGGAATTCATAACCAAAAAATTCTGCTAAGAGAGGCCAGTGTAACTTTCTCACCATTTTCATTTGTTCCACACTTACCTATATGTCAAGGTCAATAATGTTACATTTGTGAATAAAATATTTGAAAAGTAATTCCAGTAATCCGAAGACGGATGTATAATTTTAAAGTATTGGATAGAATTTGATTTCTAGCTGATTATTTCTTTATCAATTCCTAACTTCACTCCAAATTTGTGCAAAAATGAAGGTGCAGTTTTTGGGATATGCTTAGAACAAGAAAAATACGTTTTCGCATATAAAAGAGAAAGTAGGAGATAGAATTTAATAAAATTAATATCATCATTATTTTACTAATTCTCATCTTTCTTCCAACTTTGAGCCAAATCAAACAAGCCGTTCCTGAAATATTGATACATCTAAGAAAATACATTTGCTCTTTCGCAACCGGAAGTACTGTACAGAATTTAATAAAATCGGAACAGCATCATTATTTTATTGATACCCACCTTTCTTCCAACTTTGAGTCACATCGATCAAACTGTTTTTGAAATAATTGTATATCTCAGAAAATTTCATGAAAATCAGATAAACGGTAGTAGGTAATATGTCTGTCACATCAATTTGACTAAAGACAGACGCCGAACCAAATTTGAGCTCACTTCGAACTTAAAGCCGTTTGAGGAAGTTCGAAACAGGCCTAACTTACTATACTAGTAGTAGAGATTCAGAAATTTTTCAGATTTAATCGATATTAGGGTCTACTATTATGTTGTCAGGGAAGCTTTTTATCAAAATATCGGATTCTTGAATTTGAGTTGCGCATCACACTTTTGTAATCATTACGATTTAATGTCCACTATTATTATGTCAGGGGTGTTTTTTATGGTAATACTATCTGATTTTGATATCGATGAAATCCAAGAAGTTTGGCAGATGCGCGATCTCAAATCCGACAGATTTTTATAAAAAGCATTCCCAACAACATTATAGTGAATCCAAATATCGATTAAATCCTAAAGATTACAAAAACTTGATGCGCTGTTGCGCATTCTTAAATATTACAGTATTTTCATAAAAATCGCTCGATAACATAATAGTGGATCCTAAAATCGATTAAATTCGAAAAGTTAAAAAACTTAATGCGCGGTTGCACATTCTCAAATACGACAGTATTTTAATAAAAAGCGCCTCCTATAACATAATTGTGGACCCTAGTATCGATTAAGTGGGTCTTGTATAACCCAAATATGGACGCCATTTCAATAATGGTGCATAGGAATCATAAGAAAATATTTATACCCATAATCATGAAGTAGTAGTTGAAAAACAAAAAGTACTCATAGGAATTTGGCTGAGTGACACTGCCTATCTCTACTAAGTAGAGTGTTTTACTACAAATAGAATTTTGAAACAAAATTGTGAAAGGTTATATCTTGGGAGTAGTTTCAGCATACCTTAAAGTTATTTAATTTCAGAAAAGGGGGATGTCTAATGCACACATGCTGTTTATTCATCGAAATGTTGAAAAGCTCAGAGAAATAGCAGATGTAGATTCTTTGGTGTGTGCGGAAATCCCTGATGAAAATTCCAGACTGTATGACATAATAAAAAAACTGCAAGATACATGGGCTATGCAGGACCATCAACCCAAAAATGGCCTAGTAGAGAAGATGAACATTGGGAGATTTCCCAAAGGAATTTGCTGATGAAACATCATTGAACATCAATGGTAATCCAATACACAGCCAAAGAAATTATGACAGTAAGAAACAATATCTTTGATAGTTCATGGATTGTACCCAACAATCCATATTTGTTGTTAAGATGTAACAGACACATTAATGTTGAACTTAGCTCCTCTACCAAGTCTGTTAAATACCTGTACAAGTATGTGTATAAAGGGCACTACTGTTTAACTATTTAAATACCATCAGATGACAATAATAAACATTTTCCAGGCAAGATGCAACAGTTCATAAATTGCAGATATGTTAGTCCACCAGAAGTGATGTGGAAGTTACATGAAAGTCCCATATACCAGAAATAGCATATTATTGAACGGTTAACTATTCACTAGCCAGAGGGACAATTAATATACTTCTGACCTGACAAAATTTTACAACCTAATAATGAAAAGAACCAAATTAATCACTTATTTTAAAATTTACTGTGAAGCTGAAAATGCCAAGAAGTTATTATATGCATCAATTCTTAAACATTAAGCACAAAAAATGGAATGTGGAAACAATGTAAAAGAAATACTGACACTTTTGGTAGAATTTATATCATTAATCCAACTGCTAAAGAACTCTTCAGCACCAGGTTACTATTACTTCACAAAAAGGGACTGATCAGCTTTGAAAATATGAAAACTATTCATGGGAAAACGTGTGCTACTTTTAACGAGGCAACACAATCATTGAACCTGCTACAAAATGACCGATATTTATTCCATTGCCTTCAAGAAGTA